AAAGGAACATAAATATGAACATCATGCCAAAATTCAGATGATCAGTCATCCCTTGAACAGGCTGATCCTGAACACTATGGAATGATGATGATAATAATAACTCACAGGTACTAGAACTGTGTGAGGGCGACTTTCTAGAAACGGGAAGTATCTTTGTGGAGGCCCAGAGGACCCACTGAAGAAGGTTGGTGTCCTAAGAACTTTAATCATTGCCCAGAGTTCTTTTCCATCGCAAATATTTTTCTTTTACAAAAAAGAGATTTTACTGTGCATGTTTTATATTCTGCTTATTTTTACTTAGCCCTTGTTGTGAATGTCTGTATTCTTCTAAATAGTGATTTAATAGCTAATTATGTAGAATAATGTATCAGTTGCAGTCTCTTGCCTCTGTGAACACAGCCTCAATAAACGGCACTTCAGTGAACATCTTTTTTTTTGTTAAATATTTGCATATAGTCCTTTTCTTTTGATAACAGTACATTATGGGGCAGTACCTCTCCTTAGGGGTTACCCAGTAGAATTGTATGCAGCTTAGGGTGTCATGGGATCCTGTATTGTATGAGCAGTGGGAGTGTATGTGGGGCATTGCATTTTGCATGGTGGACTCTCCAGGCAAGGTCTTTGTAAACATTTTCCTTCTTCTTTCAGTAGTTCTTGTGGTGTTTGCCCAAGGCTGATAGCCAGTAAGATATTTATGAAAAGTCACCACACTTAACTTTTTCTGTATTTCTGGTTACCTTGAGACAATTAATACCAGCCTTAACATTTGTGCTGGTCTTCTTAAAAATATATTCTGTTCCAAAGAACTAGAAAATCACTTCAAATTATTTTTGCAATGAAGTTTGATTTAAATAAATGAGCAAATAGCTAACTAATGGCCCAGTGGGAAGCAGATTCTCTTCCAGGAGATTCAAATTTTGTGTCACAGCACCAGTGAGAACTAGTCAGGTTATATGTGTGGTGAGCTCCCATGACTTGGGAGGGATAGGATGCTGCTCATAAACATTAGGAATCCCAAGAAAGATTGTTTACTACACCCTTAGACATGGTATTAGACATGAGGGCAAGGTGCAGTTCTCTGATGCTTGTCTCTGGTGGGCTTCAGTTTTAAAATGACTAGATATCTATCATAGGACAAGAATCTCCTTGGAGCCTTAGGAGTGGAGATCTGGGTCTTGGTCTTGGGATGGCACTCTCATGCTCTCTCAGTTCTGTCCTCACTCCCACCGTCTGACATCTCAAATCCCCGAGGACCGTTTATTAATGGACCAGGTGAGTGCTTCCTCCCCTGGTGCCATTTTAGCTGAAGCATATAGACACATGTCAGAGGTGGCAAGCTCTGGGTTTCTAAGAAAGGAAGTCTTTTCAGCCACCTAGGGCATGGGTTAGAAAATTTCTGCAAAGGGGAAGATAGTGAATATTTTAGATTAGTGTGCCAGAACATCTCTGTCAGAACTACGTAACTCTGCTGTGGTAGTATGAAAAAGCCAGAGACAATATGTAAAGGCATGAGTTTGGCTGTGTTCTAATAAACCTTTACTTACAGACATTTGACGTTTGTATTGTTCTCACCTTATTAAGCCTTATTCTTTTGACTTTTTTTAGTCATTGAAAGGTGAAAAAGCCGTTCTTATTTCCAAGACAGTGGACTGGATTTGTACCATGGACTGTGGTTTGTCAACTCCTGATCTATAGTCATTGGTTTCCTTCTGCATCACTTTCCAACTTTTCCCTTTTTGTTATGTCATTTTTTGAAACCTCTCTGTCCTTTCTTTCAAATAGCTGAGACTCAAATATCCTCTGGAGCTTCTGGCCTTCATGTAGCTCATCAGGGAGAGCCAGAATCCCTACCTAGAAGGACCATTAGGCCCAAATCAGATAACATCCCTCCTCTCTTTTTTGTGTCCTAGCTAGTTTGACGTGTAATTTGGGAATGTGAAGCTTACAGATGTACTCTGACCAGTGGTTCTGGTTTCTGCAGGGTTCCAAGGCTCTAATGAAAAGAGTGTGTTGCCCGAATAATGGCGAGAGTCTGATTTTTAGATAATCAAGGATATTTATATCTTTTAATATGTTGGTGCCTTGGAGTTCTGTTTCAGCATGAAATTGAGAGTCAGAGAGAGGTTTGGATAATCAATTTGGTGTCGTCCCTTAGAACAATAGCAAATGAGGAGGGAATTCAGGCTGGAGTGGTAACTTACGATGGAAACAGGGGAATTATAAACATTTTATACTGCTTTATCTTTGCTTTATTTAAAAAGAAAACATGATACTGATTTTTATGAGGGGTGTGTTTAAAAGGAGATCACATGCCCTTTATGACAGGGGAACAGACCCCAGAGCACATTCTCAGATTTGTAGCTTTCGCTGTAGTCTGGGGAGCTGTCCAGCAGATGAGTGCCTGGCATTTTGCTCAGGGACCTGAAGCCACGGGGGCGACAGAGGCTCAGGCCGCCTACAGAAAGAGATCGGTTTGGTTGGTCTGACAGATGCAGTGATTTATGAGAGTGCTTGTTAAGGGACATCTGCTGCTGAGAGCTGCCAGATGAAAGGCACAAAGGAGGGGGGTGAAGGAGATCAAGGACTAGGAGAGGGAGGGCTGTCTATAAGGCAGGTAAGGATCCTAATTACAGCTGTTAGAATTGTGAGTTGGTATGCAGCTGTAGAAGGGTGCAAAATGGTAGAAGTAGCACGGGCTTTGGAACTGCACAGATATGAATTTGAATCCTTGGCTCTCGTGCTCATTAGCTGAGATCTTAGGTGAGCTGCTTCCCTTTCTTTGAGCCTCCAGTTCTTCATCTGTAAAATGGGTATAATAAACACTCTCCCCTCTCCCATTATGTGAAATTGTACTAACATAAAGGTCCAAGCACAATTCCTGGTGAATAGGAGAGCTCTGTAAGCAGTAGACAGTACTAATGTGTGTCCATTCACTTGCTTATTCATAGCATTGAGTGTTCTTTGTGATTTCAAGTAGAACCTTCTTTTCAAATAGATGCTGAATGGTGACTGAGACAGCGATAACTCTTGTGATCAGAAAGGAAGCATGTAACAGTCAACATGTATTTATAGGTAGATGTATGGGCATCTAAATGGCACATAGGAGTATGGTAGGTACCTCAAGTATGATTTAAAATACAGCTGCCTGGCCAATAAATACAAGAAAAGATATGCCACCTCACTAATAACTGGGAAATCACAAAGACAGACCAAAATGAGATACTGCTTTATACTTACCAGATTTATAAAAATTTTAAAGTTTGACAATATCAAGTGCTAAGGAAAAATAGAATGAGAGAGCTCATATACACGACTAGTAGGAATTTAAACTGACATGACTACTTTGGAAAATGATTTGTCAATATCTAGACATTTGAAGATGCACATCTGCTATGTACTAGGACATTTCACTCTTAGGTATAACCAAGAGAGGATCTCCTATATGTAATCAAGTTGATGTGTTTGTAACTGCATTGTTTTAGCAAAATAACCTCCTTGTCCATCTTAGTGGGTAACCTTAGTGCCCAGCCTTAATGGGTAGTGGATACATACTTTAAGTGAGCCAAAGTCACATGTGGTATCAGCATAGGTGAATTTTAAACAATGGTGAGTGAAAAAAATAAAGCTGCAAACAGAAAACCATTTTTATATAGCTTGAAAGCATGGAGAACAACTTTAATATATTGCCTATGAATACCCACATGTGTAATAAAAGTTTAAAGAAGTTATTTGGAATAATAAATATTTAATTCAGGGTAATATTAAGAGAAGATTGAGGGATGTGGTTGGAAATGTTGCCTAGGGCTCAAATCCCAACTCTGCCATTTACTTATTAGCTATATACCCTTAGACAAGTTTCTGATTTGTAAAATGAAACAATATTACTTATCTCATAGGTATGCTATGGGCTGAGTGAATGTAGGTAAAATATTTAGAATAATACCTAGCAGATAGTAAGTGCTAAATAAGTTTTAGTGCATAATTATAGCTACAGTCTCTTACCCCTAGGTATATTAGGAACTATGCTAATAGCTTTATGTGCATTCATTGTTTCCTATGAAGTAGGCACACCAGTGCTATCTGGTGGATAGAGGCCAGGGATACTGCTAAATACCCTGGAATGCACAGGGCAGCCCCTAATCCCCAGCAAAGAAGTATTTGGCTCCAAATGTCAATAGTACCAAGGCTGAGAAACTCTGAGCTACCTACAAGGGGCCAGCAGGCACGATTTTATGATGCTGGAAGGGATCAGAACCCGAAATACTTGACAAACAACACTAATGACCACCATGTGTCCTAAAAGCTGTCATAAAGGCCCTTCGGAAGATATTTTCCATGATGGAGGTAAACTATTACTTTGAGGGATAGCTGTTGAATGGGGCTCCTAACACAGTCACCTCCACCAAAGGACGGAGGAGACCCCGGACTCACTGATAAGCTGCCCACTGCTCCCCCTCGGCAGTCTCTCTGGAGCAGCGTTGTCCAAAAGATGTGTAATGCAGGCTACACATATAGTGTAAAATTTCCTAGTATATCCACATAAAAAAAGTTAAAAGGAACAAGTAAAATTAGTTAATTAGTATAATCTATTTAATTTAGTATATCTAAAATACTGTCATTTCAACATGTAGTCAATGTAAAAAATATTGAGATATTTTACGCTCCTTTCTTTTCTCCACGATCTTTGAAATTCGGTGCACATTTTGTGTTCAAGTGAGCCACAGTTCAAGTGCTCAGTTGGCACACGTGACTCATGATTGCAGTACTGGTTGTGCTGTTCTGAGATTCCTGTTCCTGGAACTTTGTGAGGGACTCGCCTTGGTCTCTGAGGGCCAGCGGCACTGCTGTCACCCCGAGTCGGTAAGCTGAGAGCAGGAGGTAACGTCCAGGGACGTCTGTCCCAGGCTGCCAAAGGAGGACTGCTGTGTTTTAGGAACAAAGAGGGACTGATTTTCTGTGTGGCCTGTGCCTTCACCTCCTTTTCTGTTTCTGTTTGGCAGGTGCCTCATCACCAGACATGGAGCCCAGCTACGGGGGCGGCCTCTTTGACATGGTGAAAGGAGGTGCGGGGAGGCTCTTCAGCAACCTAAAAGACAACTTGAAAGACACCCTCAAGGACACCTCTTCCAGAGTTATACAATCTGTTACCAGGTATATGTGCTCTTCCTGGTTGAGTTAATGAACTACTACATCCCCAAAGGATCTGGTCATCTGCTAACTGCTTGTCTGGCTCACAGACTATCAGTTTCGTGATGTAATTTCATGGGTCTGACTGACTGAGCAATGTCACAGAAACCATAAAGTTGAGTCCTTCAGAAGCTACAAGCACAGGCTGGGAAGACTCAGCTAATCTATACATAAAAGGACAGTGCATTGCCAACCTTGCCTTTCAATCCAGCATCCTGGGTTCTAATGTGTTATCTGCCCTTGTTAACCACATGACCTAAGGCAAATTAATTAAGCTCTCTGAGCTATGCTTTTTCACCCTGGTAGCATTTGTGCCTTTGGATGTTTGAGAATTAAATGAACTAATCATGTTTATGCAATCTGCATAAGCAGTGCTTATGGATTGCAATCAAAACAGAATTTTGCTTTTGTATCTTAATAACCCATTAAAATTTATTTAGTGGGAGAAGTTTTCTACCCTTCCACTATATGAAAACTTTTACAGGTAGAACATAATGAATTTTTTTATTCTTAGTTATAAAATGTTAGAGTCACTTTGTTACAATGTGTAGCTTTAAATCATAAATTCAAATGGCAAATTTAATATATTAATCAACATTTTAACCCCCACCAGGGCCTGATAGGCTGGAAAAGGATGTCCTTTGTTCATTCTCCATCACTTCCCTCCCTATGCCCTAGCTGTGAACACCTACGGGTGGTATTTCTCTGTAGGCAAAGAGCCTGAAACAATCATTGTTAATAAATAAGCATTGTTTTCTAAGTGGATTCTGCTCATAAAGTGGCATCTGTTTGTAAAGACTATTGGGGTGATCCAGTTGGAGTGGTGGATTGAAGCTCCTTGGGGTGTGGGCTGTCTTCTCTCAATAATGCTCCCTTGTTAGAGAGAAGGCCTTGAGGGAAGTCAAAATATGTCAGCTGGAGGGAAGTGCCCCAGGTGACAAAGAGAGAAAGCTTGGCATGTTTGGATCATTTTAATGAGTGACCTTTCTTGTCTCACTTTTAGCTACACGAAGGGAGATTTAGACTTCACTTATGTGACCTCCAGAATTATTGGTAAGTTTCTCATGTTCAGACTCTGCTCAGACTCGATTTCCAATTGCTGCTCATCATGACAGCAGACCTATTTAACCTATTTTCTTTCTGTGTGACCCTCCCAGTGATGTCCTTTCCTCTGGACAACGTTGATATAGGATTCAGGAATCAGGTGGATGACATTCGAAGCTTTTTGGATTCCAGACATCTTGACCACTACACGGTGTACAATCTGTCACCCAAGTCTTATCGAACTGCCAAGTTTCACAGCAGGGTAAGGAATTTTAGCTCTGGGGTCACATGGTTGAAGATATAAGAGGGTATTTCTCTTTTAATGGCTATCTTCAAAGCCTTTGCTCCAAAAGTTGAAGAACTACACACTCTGGACACTTCTAGCCACAAAATATTCATTAGACTTTAATGAGATTTTCTTTGGGCGAAGATATTTGTAGGAAAGTCTGTCTGTCAATGAAATGCCATCTAAATTGGGGCCCCAAATCAGCTGTGGTTTGTTACTCAGTTGTCAGGGTGTGTTGCTGTGAGGCTCAGTTGGAGATTGAACTGCTATGTAAGACATTTGGCTGCCTTTATACTATAACATTAATTATGCCTTTAACCCTTCCTTATTGCTGCTTGGGCATCACGATGAGGCAGTGTAGCTAGTCCAATACAGACACACTAATATTAATGGAAATATTAATGTCTGCTTTCTGATATTCATTAAAAATGCTTCTTTCATAAGAGACACATAAATAGTCTACACTGTAGGCTTGGTAATACTGTAACTAATATTAGTAGTAGTGAGAGCAGCAGCCAACACTTACAGAGCATATACATTGTGCTGGAAACTTTACATGAAGTATCATTAAATTCTTTCAACAGTCCTCTGAGGTGGATGGAGAAGCTGAGTCACAAAGAGCTAAGGTAACTTGCCCAAGATCCAGCTAGTAAGTGGCCTTAAGCTTTCATTCTTAACCATTACCTTAGGCAGACAGTATTACCTGGGAAAGCTGGATTGTGTTCTTAAGGAGTGTTTGGAACTAAACTGAGAAATATTCCTAATTTAGCAGCTGTGAGACCTGGCTTTGGTTTGAATCTAATGTCAAGCCTGATATTTCTGGCCACTGAATTTTTTAAAAATTACATTTATTGGGGTAACATTAGTTAACATTATGTAAGTTTCAAGTGTACAATTCTAGAATACATCATCTGTCTATTGCATGGTGTGCTCACCACCAAAAGTCTAGTCTCCTTCTGTCACTAAATTCTTGATTTATTCACTAAAATAAGGCTTTTAAAATAAGGCTTTTGAGAGAGAGCTCTCTCTCAAGAACATCTTAAAATATTTTGACTTAGCCTTTAGATATGGTTGTTTCTGCAACTACATCTGGATCTACAAATAAACAGAAAGGGTTTTCTATGCATTGGCCCCTTTAAAAGTGAAGCTTGATTTCAAATACATAAAATGGTAGCTGGTTGTCTGTGCTGTGTATCTAGGATCTCAGCTTTGAGGCGAGAACACATTTTGCTACAGATTCCAGTTGCCATTGTTAATCTCTGGGCCTCAGTTTCCAGACCTGTAGAAACACAAGAAGGGTGATCTGTGTGCTGCGATTCCTGCCCTAATGTTCAGTCTGCTAAGGGAGGGTTTTGTTATGGACCCTATCTTCTCAGGGTGTTCCCTCAGTAGGCCAGAGGTAACCCAGTGGTTTTCAAACTTCAGTGAACCCCAGAATCACCTAGAGGGCTTGTCATACACCAGGTCCAGCTTTGCTCCAGCAGGACAAGGGGGCCATGAGAATCTGCATTAGTAACAGTTCCTGCGTGCTACTCCTCTATGGCCCTGCACCACTCTGAGGAGTGAGGCTAAAACCAATTCCAAAGTGGTTTGGTCCAAATTGCCATTCTGTGATGGAGATTTTCAATGCAGCTCCTTAAAATTCCCTGTAATTAACTGCCCTTCCAACTCTTATTCCATCTATTACCTAATTCAGAGCAAGTGAATTGACAGTCAAACAACAATGCGAGTAGATATTTTTGTCTCTAAGTCAGATGCACATCTTTTCAATTTTTTTTTTTTTGCGTGTTTGGAGACTAAATCAGTGCCATCATTTTTAAAACTGAAGGACAGTGGAACATCCTACATGATATTTCATAGAAATTTTATTTGATCTTGAAAGATCTGTGATAGTCTGGAACATTTTCCTTCTGAAAGTAAATAAAGATATAATATCATTATAGAAGCATTCATACATATGCAAATGTTTCTTGGTATAGTATTTATAAAAGCAGCTGCTATAAAGATATTTCAAGAAAGATATCTATTAGTGTCACTACAAATTTTGTGACCAGTCTTAACAATGTTACCAAAGGAACGAGGCATTACATAATGAATTACATCTGCCACAGGCTGCTCTCACTTTCCTTAAAAGGACAGGAAGCATGTTTATTTTATTTGCTACCTAGAACAGTGCCTGGAATGGCTACAAGTTTATCAGATGAATGAAAGTGTCAAGGACTGTTAAACACACAGATCATGCAATAAATATTTGGCTCTGGTTCTCAAGACACTTAAGCCTCATTGGAGAGAAAACCCAGGACATTCTAAAGACAAATGCAAACAATATGTACATTGTTTAATGAAGGGGATTAATGAAGGGAGACAGCAGTGAGAGCGAAACTTGAAGCATGAGTAAGTCTTGTACAAGTGAAAGGTGTGGGGTTGTTTCTTTTCCATGTACATTGTAGAAGGTATCTTATATGGTTCTTCATGGTCTGGCTTCTGCCTGCCTCTCCAGATTCATATTTCACTGTTCCCATGCCCAGAAACCCATACTCCACCAAGGGGACACGTCTCTTTGTGTGAGCTGCTCCCTCGTCTTAAAAAGTTACCCATTGCTACACCACTCCATGCCTTCTTGTTAGCCTAATTTCACAACAGGGAGGATTTCCACAAGGCTTTTCCAATTCTTTCTCCTTCAAACACAGGATTGCATGATGCCCTTAGCCCTTCACAGATAGTTCCAGGACTCTGTAGAATGGAACTAGACCCTCAGGTGGAGCTCTTGCAACCCTCACTTACATATCAGGTAGACAGTTTCAAAACCTTACTATATTCATCTTAGCTCTGTTTTTGATGTGGCTTTTTTCAGGTTCCTAGTCAGGCTCTCTCTCCCTAGCACTAACACAGTGAATTGATTTGCATCTCACTGTTGCATTACTTAGAAAAGTTCTATTGCTTTTCTCTTCCAGCCTGTAAAGATTAGAACCATTTCTTCCTCCTTTTAGGTCAGTGAAGTGCTAGATCTGCAGATAAACATTATTTTAGTAAGTGTATATAGCAGAGTGTTACCTAAATACCAGTGCTGGAAAAGGAGACTGGTTTTATTTATGGACTCACAGGAGTCCAGCTCTGTTTTTACCTCTGTGCCTTAAAACCTGAACTCAGTCACTTTACATTTTTATTGTTTGGTGTGTGTTTGGGGATATGGGTGGCAGTGAAAAAGACAGGCTGCTTCTGGGAAGAATTCATTTGCTTAGGGGTGTCATTCTATGTTTTGATTAGCTTTTATGGTTAGAAGCCACATGGATCGACAGGAATCCTATGTAATAATCAAAAAACATTTTCTGAGTATTTACATATGTAACAGAAAATTAAAAATAGGATTCTGTGTTTAGTATCAATTTTAGCAGAAGATTCAACTCAAAACATCACATGGCAGATAGTCCTGTGTTCAAACAGCATCCCTACCTGTTCAGGACCACAGAAGAGGTATTGAAGGTCAGGCTTTTTACTCTTCTCGGCCAGTACCCACCTGGAGGAAGTAAAAAGCACCAATGTTGACAATAAAGTCCTGGGAACTAATGAGATGCATCATCTGACCAGATGTTCTTTAATCTGAATTAATAAGACGGGGTCCACTGTGTATTTAAATTCATGTATGAGCTTCAGGAAATTTAAGCATTTGCTTTCACTTCATTTTTAAAATTATTTGGAAAAATATACAGAACATAAACAGTTCATTTTAACTGTTTGTAAGTGTACAAATCTGAGGCATTAAATACATCGCTATGTTGTGTAATCATAGCCACAGCTTTTCCCCCATCACCCCCATCCACTCTGGGAGTGTGTGTACATGCGTGTACCCGGCTTCAGTTTCTGCGCAGATGGTTTCTAGCCATGCCCCAGAATGTCAAGAACCATTGCTTTATGCACCGTGCTGTTGTAAATAAATGGAAACCTGGATGGATGGCCACCAAATCTAGCTGGCTCTGAAGTTCTAACACTCTGATTAGTGCTATTATTCCAGTGCCACGTGGAGCCTCTTTCTCTCCCTGCCCAACCAGGAAGGGAAGGTATGTTGTTAGTAACATGGAAAAAATAAACCCAGCTGGTTCTTTTAGATTCTTCCTTCATTTTGACTTTTTCCAATCCACATGCTCCTGTAGGATTACCTCCCTTTGGGGAACAACTTGATTTAAGAGGTCATGATTGTTTGTAGGTGAGCGTTTTCTTTTCTTTTTCTTCCAGAGTTCGCCAAAGCTCCCCATTGTTTCTGCTTTGGTATGCCGGTTGGTGAAGGGGGTTGGACACAGTGGGGTGATGCTTCATCTTTCCCTCTGCCACTGTGCATTAGTGTAAAGACAGAAGATAATAGGGTAGAAAGAAACCCCTCGCCCGGGGGCCAGAGGGCCAGAGGGCCATGGTTCTCCACATTGTAGCTGTGTAAGCTTCGGTGAATTGTCATAACTGTGGTGAAATATGGCCATTACGTGAAACCCCACAAATGTAAGAAGGAATTGCAGTAAATATTCATCAGGCAGTGTTGTATAATAGAAAGTACACAAATTTACTATTTGTACTAAGGTAAAATTTATAAATATACACAAATTTTAAACTTTAGAAATTATCTTAGGCTCCTATCTCAGCTGCTCCTCTTCCTGGGTAAGTTACTTTACCTCACCTGAGACTCTGTTCTGCTGTGTGAAATGGGGGTGACAATAAGAATACCTATCTCATAAATACTTAGAACACAACTTCTGTAAGTGGGCTTAAGAAATAGATTTCATAGCCGTGCCTGTCGTGGAGTAAGCATTCAGTGAATGGTAGCCATGATTAACACTGGTAATAACACTCCCGTGGTAAGTGACCGACTGAAACTCTGTCCTCCAAAAATGGTTTCGGATTCTGAAAACACTGGATTTGGCTCTTTAGTCCGATTTTCCATAGCACCTTTTACTCTTATGCCCACCAAATGGGATGATTGTGCCATCTTATCTCGTGCCTGGAGAGACAGATGGATAAAAGTGGAACAGCATCCAGCCCTGGTTCTGTTTTCGCCTCTTTTCGCACTAGGTGATATCATGGCAGCCTTGTAATCCATATGGCATTCTCCGATGCTCTGCGGCTCTAGGGGGTGTGCAGAGGGACTGGAGATGGCATAGCGAAGTGTCACTTGGCCCTATGACAGTGCTTACTGTGTGAAACTGTGAACCCCAGAGAGAGAGAGAGAAATAGCTTGAGTGATTGTATTCCTTTTTAAAATGTTTTGGGTTTGTTTATGCCTTAAAGTATTTTCCCTTTTAGACAGAGCACATGCTTTTAAAAAAATTCTAATTGTATGTTTGCTTAATGATTATAATTATATATATCAAGTTAAATATGTAATTATAGAGCAGTTTGAAATTAATATTATTTACTTGATTGATTTAATTATTCTGAAGCTATTACCCTATTGTGCTAAGAACAATCTAGTCAACTTTTAGCTGAGACTCATTATAGATACTGACACTTAGTGTTTGTGGAGTGACATCTAGTTTCTAAAAGGCTTAAAAATATTGCAATATTGCCTAGGAAAACAAATTTCCTACACTTTTACATAGTTGTGATCTAAAAATACAACAAAATTGTTTCACTTGTTTCTTCCCCCAAATAGTGCCCATGGAGACAAATCTTATTACAAGAAGAGATTGCCAAATGGAGTTCATTCTTTCACTCATTCATTAGCTCAGCAAATACCTATTGAGCACCTGCCATTCAACTGGCACGTGCATACTGGATCTGATTTGCAAAAGTGAATGAATTGTGGTCTGCCTTCTCTGGAGCTTAGTGTCTAGATGGGAGACAGAAAGTTATTTTAATGTAGCTTGACAGTAAGCTGGCACTTACTGTATTTACCTTGTTGTACTACTAAATCCTCACAGCAATCTTGTAATGCCCATTCTCTCTTTACACACAGGAGAATTGTGGTGTGGAGAGGTTAGCAACTTGCCTAAGGTTCACCGGGTAGGAAGTGATGAAGCCTGGGTGAAAAGCCAGCCTGTGGGCTCATCCATGTTGCTCTACTGATAAAAGGTGTAATAGATGAAAATGGACAAGGGCCTGGGCACCAAGATGACTAAGCTACTAAACACTTCTGCCTCTGGGGGTGTTAGAGAAACTGTCAGAGACAAGAGAGCACTTGAACTTGGGTTTTGAAGGATGAATAAGGATTTACCAGGGAAGAAAAACCATCAAAGACAGGAAGCAGCTTGTGCAAATGTACATTTTGTATTTCCTTTGATGGCAAAAATTTATCTCCCCAATTATTCTTTAAATCAGTATATCATCTCCATTTCCTGAAAAGATATCAATGGGAAATATATTTGGGGGATAAATACTGGCCAGAAACAGCCCTGAATCATGTTGGGTAAAAGGGACCACATGTTACGGAGTTTAAATTAACAAAGGCCCAATACTGGGTGATCCTGTATTGTTTGGTAGCTGTAGCAAGTATTTCATCTACTTTGTTTAATAAACCACATCTATACCTTTGCAAAGGTATAGAAAAAAGGGTAACCAGAAAGGTTCCCTGCCACTACCCCATAATCATCTTGCAGAAAAAAAGTTACAGACTGAAAAAGAGAATGGGCTTTCTTGGCAGCCCCAGAGAGAGGAACATCATGTGTTTGCTTTTAGACATCAGCTTTACAGAGACCACACGTAACTTACCATTTATCTTGGACTGGTTTCCAGAAAAGGGCAAACCAAGCAGATTGCTCCTACCTCCCTTACCACACTGTTAAATATTAGGGATTTGGGACATTTGTATTTTCTTAGGCCAGTGTTATTAGTGTTGTTGAGCGCTTTCTGATGACATCATACACACAAAGTCGCCTCTTTCTCCAGAATTCCCTATGTGAGCAAATGGCACCTGATCCTGTTTTTTTTATGCAGCCAGTCATGCTGGAAACCTGGACTCTTTCTCCCTCGTCTCTCTCTTAAGTACACTGCTCCACTCTCATGCACTGCCACTGTGTGGTCAATTACCCACTCCTGTGTACATATATTCTACTTTTCTCTTTAATTCTTAATCCCTCAGGCCTTTTTGCACCCCAGTGCTACCCATCTAAGCCTAAACCACCACCACCCCTTACGTAGACTGCTCAGCAGTCTCCCCACTGGTCTCCTGACTACTCTCGTGTCATCCACATCCACTCCCTATACTGGATCTCGAAAGCTCTTTGGAAAATTCAGATCTGAGAGTCACTCTTTTTCTTAAATACCTTTCCCGGTTCCTAACAGGGCCTTGTATGTACGATCTGATCCCCTTCAATCTATACTCTAGCCATACATTTTTAAGACATTCTTGGCTCTATCCAACTTTGGGGCTTTGCACTGGCAGTCACCTGATACCACAATGATAATAGCTACATTTATTGATCACTTTGTGTGTGTCAGATACTGATCTAAGCCCTTGAAATACATTCTCATGTAGTACCTACAGCCATGTCAGGTAGGTAGGTATCATTTACCACATTTTATGAAGAAAAGCTTGAATATAATTTTGTCAACAAATGTCACCCCAATAAATTCCATTAAAAAGCTTTTTAAAAAACTTAATGAGATCCCAAAGTTTGCCCAAGTCTAAGCTTCTCTTTATTATTAGTTAAATTAGTGAACATCTAATCAATTGAGGCTGATGCCTAGTTGCAATGCTGGTTTTGACCAGCAGTGTGATTTTAGACAAGACAACCTCTGAGAATCAGTTTTCTCATCTGCAAAATGGGGATCATGCCAATACCCATCATACATGATTGCTGTACAGATTAGAGGCAAGCAGAAGTCTTGGAACACAGTTGGTGCCCTATAATGTATTGAAAGAATATGTGTGTTAGATGAATGAAAATGCTGAAGGTTGGCCCCATGGAGCTGTGGTCTCCTTCATGAAGAGGGGAGTAAGAGCCCGAATAAGGCTTGGCTCCCTCTGCTGTGCTTCTCACGTGATCATGACAGCTGGTATAGAGTTAGGGCTAGTGCAGAATCTACAAGACAAACCTGTAATTAAACATCTAGTAGGCAGGTCAAAACATTTTATATTTAATAGAATTAGATTTGGAGTTTTGTGTAGTGAGTAGTATTATAGCCAATGAGGTATATCTGAGACATAATTATTGCTACTTGAAATAAAATTTGGGGTAACCTCATAGAATATAAAAAAGCCCAAGTATGTAGTTTAAATGGTATAGCTGAATTTAAAATGTATTTTACAATATTTTTTATACCTTACCGAGACAGAACTTTTTAGTGAAAAAAATTGCTGGATTAAGTTAATTCTTCTTTCTGTGTCTGGACCACTCTCAACTGTTCCTGGCTATACTGAGAAAGAATAGAGTATCTCCTCTGGAAGCAGTTGTGTGGTGTAACACCTGTAAAAGGAGAGGAAGTCACCAGGGGAACTTATTTCCTTTTACCGTGTTCCCTTAGGTTTCAGAGTGCAGTTGGCCCATTAGGCAGGCCCCCAGTCTGCACAACCTCTTCGCCGTGTGTCGGAATATGTATAACTGGCTACTACAGAATCCCAAAAACGTCTGTGTTGTCCACTGCTTGGTGAGTAACCTTTATTGTTGTCATTGTCTGTGGTAGTTTGGTGTAGTTTGGTCAAACACAGCTGGCCCTATGCAGACTGATGTGCAGGTAACATTTAAGTTGAATTATCATTTTATTGAACTCCTATTTAGGAATTAGGTGATCTGAGGGATATAAAAATGAGAATTGACCTTATTATTCTTTCCTTAAAATTTGAGTGCTAGTGGGAGAGGCAGATATGTACACAACCAACTCATATGAGGCCTCTAGGGTGTGGTGACTATTACCAAAGGTAGAAATGAGCTGCGGGTGTGCAGATAAAAATGCCATTGAGCTTGTATGCCATAAATGCATTGGAATATTAATATTTTCTTACTCTTTTAAAATAATTTTTAATTTTTTCAATTACAGTTGTTATACAATATATTTTAGTATATTTTATTGATTTTGCTATTACAGTTGTCCCATTTTTGCTCCCCTTTACCCTCCTCTTCCTTGCAACCCCTCCCTCTGGCATTCCCTTCCTTAGTTTATGTCCCTGGGTTGCACATACAAGTTCTTCGGCTTCTCCATTTCCTCTACTATTCTTAACTTCCTCCTGTCCATTTTGTACCTACCAGTTATGCTTCTTATTCCCCATACCTTTTCCCCCATTCTCTCCGCTCCTGACTGATCTCCCTCCATGTGATCTACATTTCTGTGATTCTCTTCCTGTTCTAGTTGTTTGCTTAGGTTTTCTTTGTTTGTTTTTATGTTCAGTTGTTGAAAGTTGTGTGTTTGTTGTCATACATACAATATTAGTTTCAGGTGTACGTGAGTCTAGTACCCAGCTGACATCATAGATATTACAACATTATTGACTATACTCCCTATGCTTTCTTTACTTTTTATGTTTGAATAAAAATGAAATAAAAAGACACCTATGCCTTTATAAGTAGTCACATAAAACATGACTGTATTTTACAGCAATTGCCAGTAGGACTGATGATTTTTCTGATAACTGACTTAGAGTCCCTTTCCCTACCCCTTTTTCTGGAGGCCTCTACCTGTTGTTCGAAACTCAACCTTCAGTAAAATCTCTTTGATGCTTTTGAGTATTTTCACAATAGGGACATTCCCACTGTCCCTCCACTGCATCATCATATCAATGAACTGACTGTTGTCCCCCTAGACCATGAACATATCCAGTCAAGAACTGTGTCTCCTTCCCCTTGCTCCACAGGTGTGAAAGATTTGAAAAAGTTGACAGCATGAACAAATAAACACACAAATGGAATCTGAGCATAAATACTGGAAATAATCACTGCTTCTGTAAACTTCAGGGTATATATATATATATATATATATATATATATATTTACTATGATCTTACTTGATGATTCTCCCCCTTCTTCTTAAGAGCCAGCTGGCTAAGAGGGGGAAAAAGCAGAGCATTTTTTCTTTTTTTCACTTCAAATACTTAACTTCTAATATAAAAACTGATAAAAATTCTTAAAAGAACTGCATGGCAAATAAAATGAGGGGACACATACCTAAGCACCTTGAGCATGTTACAGGGGTGTCTGGAGGACTAAATTCTAAACAGGATTGAGAAAACTATTTTTTAAAAAAGAAAAAATATCCTTGGAATAAGGACAACAATAAATGCATGAGGCACATGGCATAGCCTTATCTCCTTTATTCTGTTCCTTTGTCATGGGGACAGATTTCAAGCTAGAAAGGGAGTAGCAACAAGTAAGACAAAGCTGATAGGTAGTGATGTAGTAAGAGAGACTCACAGTACTGAACGATAATCCACTCTCTAGACTTACGTTATAGGACTGAATGCCGAAAGCACTAGGAAAAGCAATTGTGGATCCCTTATGTAATATGAGGAGACTGGAAGAGGGGCCAGACAAGCAAAGATAGATTGTTTCCAAAAGAGAGGGAGTTGATCTTGGAAAGCTACAGGATGGTGAGCCTGGTAGTAATTCAGGCAAAATTCTTATATGAATTTTCACACAGGTGATTTTCAACTCTTAGGAAAAACATTAAAAATTGGTTCATGATGAACACATATATCAAAGCAACCAAACTTACTGTAAGAGGACTAGTAGATTAGTAGAGAACAGTTTATCGGGTTTCTTCAAGATATTTACCAGTTTCTTATAATCAAGAAGGACAGACTTGGGCTAGGTTGTTATACATTTAGTGAAATAGTGGTTGAGTATCTGCTTTCAAAGTAGATGGTTAATGGATCAACAGCCTCCCAAGCTTGTTTTGGTTGTCCCTTTAATCAACATTTTTTATGACAATATGGAGATTAAACTCATCAATTTTGTCAGAATGGGAGATTCACATAATGAATCTGGAGTTTAAAAGCTTTTGGAGATTGGTCGTTTAACAGAGACTATGTGAAATTAAACACAGGATAAATATAAACTCTTGAATTCTGATTCTAAAAGATTGAATATATTTGTCTATTAGCTTAACACATCATCTGAAAAAAAGCTAGGGGTTTTAATAGATAGAAAGATCAGAGCTTATGTTATGACTTAGCATTTAAACTAGCTTGGCCTGGGCATATGTTAGGAAAAGCATCATGTCCAAACTATGGAAGATGATATTTCCTCTCTAGTTTAGTTAGATCACATGTCCTAGCTTGCATTTCACATCTGGACAGTACATTTAAGGTTGTTTTAAAACTGGAGTCTTATTCAGAGGAAATACACCAAATGATGATGTCTCTTAAAATGGAATATTAAATGAGGAAGAATTGAAGGGATTGTGTATTAGTCAGGGTTCTCCAGAGAAACAGAACCAATAGGATACATAGAGAGTAATACACATAGGAAATTTATTATAGGAATAGGCTGAAAAGTCCCACAGTCTGCCTTCTGCAAGCTGGAGAACCAGGAAAGCCAGTGGTATAATTTAGTCTGTGTCTGAAGACCTCACAACCAAGGGGGCCACGGGTGCGAGTCCAGGAGTCTTAAGGCCCCCAAACCAGCAGCTCTGATGTCTGAAGGCAGGAGAAGATGGAGGGCCCAGCACAAGAAGAGAGAAAATTTTCCCTTCCTTAACCTTTCTGTTCCATTTGGGCCCTCAACAGATTAGATAATACCTCCTCCCTTTTGATGAAGGTGGATCTCTTTACTAAGTCTACTGATTCAAATGCTGATCTCTTCCAGAAACACCCTCTCACACACACACAGAGAAATAATGGCTTACCAGTTATCTGGGCATCCCTCAGCCTGGCCAAGTTGACACATAAAATGAATTGTCACAGATTGGATGTGTTTTTATCCTGGAAAATAAAAGTATTCATGGAAGGGGAGGGCTGTCACAGAGAGAAAGAAGTCAGTTCACTCTTGGTCATCCCAGAAGGAAGAATGAGGATCATCCAGTGGCATAGACTTCAACTCAACATATTCAGTATAAGGAAGACCTTTGTAAACTGGAGTGGCCTACTTCAAGTAGCAGTAAGCTCCCTGTTACTTCCAGTGTTCTAGAAGAGGTTGGGTCACCATCTGTCAGGAATGTTATTGTATGTATTCCTCCACTGAGTGAGGTTGAATCTTCTTTTATATTATTTTATATGAATCTAGACAATAAAATGCAGTATTTACCTAACCCGTGAAGTCTGCTTCCGGCCCAAAACCAAGATACCTCAGCTGTTAGTTCTGATGCCACAAGTCCAAAGTTACTTTGAAGGTTAGATTATTTTTTAGTAAATAGGCACAAGTCAAATTTATATTGGCTGGGTTTCTTAGGTTAGTAGAGAGTCAATTTCATCCTAAGAAGTCTCTCCTTTCTGCTTGGTGATTTAAATAGCTGGAACCAAGTTTGTTTTCTGAGTAAACAATTTTGAACTGACAGGCATGCCCAGTTTAAAGGATTTCTCTCCTACCCCGCCCCCAACTGGTCTCTTTTAGTGGTGAGTGGCTGATTGGACTATGTTTATGACAAGTTTATGCATTTCCTTTGGCAGGATGGGCGGGCAGCATCGTCAATTCTGGTTGGTGCTATGTTCATTTTCTGTAATCTCTACTCCACTCCTGGACCAGCTGTTCGATTGTTATATGCAAAGCGGCCAGGCATAGGACTTTCGCCTTCCCACAGGAGGTAAAGTAAGCTAGATGCAGGGTAGGCGCAAACATGTAGACATAATCAAGTTGGTATCTCGTACTTAAAAAAACAACAAACACCTTTTTAGATCGTTGACTTATTATCTTCCTCTTATTTAAATTGCATCCCCTTGCCTTTTTTGGGGGGGGGGATTAAAAGTGTTTCTGATGATAGCATTCTAAAATGTTGTCAATACCAACCTCTAACTGATAAATTTTAATCGGTTAGATCAAATAGGAATAGTTGTACAAATACTGTGATAGTATAAAGCTCCCAGAAGCTTTTTCATTTAATAAATACTCCTTATCAGTTCTTAGGGGGAAGTACAGCAGTGTCACTAGATGAAAGCTTTCCTCAGTTATTGGCCACATTCTCTTTTGCCACTTCATGTTAAAGAAATTAACATAAATTTTTATTGTAAGTTAATAATTACAAAAAATAAACATCATAACAAAGATCAGTTGCTTCTTTTTTCTGGTGTGGGGGGCACCAACAGAATGACTGTCTTCTGTTTCAGATACCTGGGCTATATGTGCGACCTCCTAGCAGACAAACCCTACCGCCCTCACTTCAAACCTCTCACGATTAAGTCGATCACTGTCAGTCCGGTCCCTTTTTTTAACAAGCAGAGAAATGGATGTCGCCCTTACTGTGATGTGCTAATTGGAGAAACCAAAATATATACGACCTGTGCGGATTTTGAACGAATGAAGTAAGTTACCATACTTCATTTCTTTTTGTGAACTGCTCAGTTCTGTAAGTTGGACCATGGCTGATTTTTTTTTTTTAAAGTTTATCATAGGTGGTAAATGTAGGAAAGTACAATCAGGTCAAGGGAAGTCATAGGCCCCTTTCAAATGGAATACAAACTAAGGAGACTTAAATGAGCTGTAGTGAGGGTTAAGGCTGTGCTGTGGGACAGAGGACCTGGATATTTAAAAAAGGAATGACCTTGAAGAGATTTGGTGTATAATGGAGGAGTCAGAGATAATGAGGTTTCTAGGTGAACAGCTAGGTAGATGGTGATGTGATTAAAGACATTCTAGAATCTGTAAGCAAGCACAGCCACCACTGGGAGGTGTGTAGGGAGTAGGGAGTGGATGGCAGCATGAACTGAAATTAGTCTGGAATAGATTGAATTAGAGGATTAGTATCTGAGGTCCTCAGATAGGAAACAGGACATTTCCTTGATGTTTCTGTACTGATCTCAGTTGGACTTTTTGTTCTTTCTGTCTCTGTTTTTACCATTAATTTTAAGTTAGGGAAAGGTGGATACATCGGAGCTAGATGTATTTGAAGAAAATGGGATCTGCAAAGTAGGGACGGGTGATTATGTATCTAGAAGTCCAAATGGGACGGCAAGAGAGGCCAAGGCACCGGACCAACGCCCTGCCATGGCGGAACCAGTGTGCACCCGGTTGGCACTGGCTGTGCTCCTACTTTGCTCATATAAGACATGATTCCTGGGCCCAGGCCTGGGCAAACAACAGGTCCCTTGGCCAGAGCCACAGAGGACTCTACCTGTGATTGTACCAGATTGGACTCTCTTTCATGTATGTTCTTGTCTGTTTAAAGAGAATACCGTGTCCAAGATGGGAAAATCTTCATTCCCTTGAGCATCACTGTGCAAGGAGATGTGGTCGTTTCCATGTATCACTTGAGATCAACCATTGGGAGCCGGCTACAGGCCAAGGTATGGTCTCAGGAAGGGCCACGGCAGAAGTTCCTCTGAGCCTTCAGTGAGAGTGTTTCAGAGTCTTCCTTCTGTATCACTTTGGACTTGAGTGTCTTACGGTTTTAGAACCAGAAGGGGCCTTTAAAGATTGCTTATGCCCATCTCCCTCATTTTACAGGGGAGGAAACTGAGACTCAGAGAAGCTATGACCTACCCAGCTTTTTTACATTTGGGTCCGCATGAGGGTGGCTATCTCTACTGGGGCTGTGGGATTAAGTAATGATGTTTTAAAAAATTTTTTATTACAATAAAATTCACCCTTTTAAAGTGTACAATTTCATTTGTATTTAGTATTTTTAAAGGATTGTGCAGCCATAAGCACTGTCTAAATCCAGAACATTTGCATAACCCCCCAAAAAGGCCTGCACCCATTAGCAGTTACTGCCTGTTCCCCCTTCCCTATCCCCTAGGCAGCCACTGATCTATTTTTTGTCTCTAAGGATTTGTCTATTTTGGATATTTCATATAAATGGAATTATACAATATATGGTCTTTTGTGACTGGTTCTTTTCACCTAGCATAATGTTTTTGAGATTCTTTTATGTCGTACATGTATTAGTATTTCATTCCTTTATACAGTCAAATAATATTCCATTGTATGACTTTACTGCCTCTTATTAATCTCTTCATCCATTGATGGATATTTGAATGATTTCCACTTTTTGGATATTACCAATAATGCTACAAGTAATTGCATTTTAATTCATCAAATATTTGCTAAATGCATGCTCTGTGCCATTCATTGCCTGGTTCAGGAGTGACCAGAATAAGACTGTGTTCCTGTCTTTAAAACACTTAGCCTACCGGGGGAAACTCACACATATACAAATATGCACTGCCCATTAGAGACCGGATTAGATGCTATAATGGGAGCAGTTTGTTTTATCCAGTGGTGGCCCAGAAAGGCTACCAAGGGGCTATGTACCTTGCAAGGTGGGGATGAGCTTATCAGGCTGGAGCAGGGGCATTCTAGATGGAAGGGATGGAGTGAGTCAAAATACAGCAGTGTGCAAGAACATGGACATTAGCAGGTGAAGAAATGGCTTGCCGAGGCAGAGTTCATGGAGGGGAAAGGCCAGAACAAAGCTCAGCCTGTTTCAGATGGGGGGTTTATTTAATATTCATCATGAGCAAAGGCTCAGACTTAGAAACAGTTGGAGGTTCATGGCTCCCCCATATATAATCTTTTGCTCTGATTCCCTCTTCACAGATTGATTGTAATGTGCTTCTCTCCTGTATTTTTAGGTGACCAACACTCAAATATTCCAGCTGCAGTTTCATACTGGATTCATACCACTGGAAACAACAGTTTTAAAGTTCACCAAGTGAGTGCTGCTTGGGCCAAAAATCCTTTTCAATTGGAACAGCTGTGATTTTCTGGGAGCCAGTTGCTCAAGGCTCATTAGTGCTGTGCTGCAGCATCCCTGAATCTGCTGCAGGACTGTGAATGTAGCTTAGCAACACACAGAGGCTGGTTTTGATTTGTCTTGAACACAAATGGTTCAAAGGACTTCAAACAGAAAGGCCTAAAGTGCCTAAAATTCCATGCGAAGGAGCAAGAGGCAACCAAGTGTCAATGCTGTGATCCTTTGCATCTGTGTATCCCTTTGTGTTTTTCAACAGGGGTGGCAGTTTCATCAGTAGTGATGTGAGCAGTGGCCCTTCAGAATGGATTCCAGGCCACAGCATTGAGCAGGATCCTGGGAGACCCCCTTGCATCAGACATTAACTCTTTGTTGCTGTATTTAGTGTGGTCTAGAGAACTCAGGGAGGTAGCTGGCTCTGTGTTGATGGATGGGAGTTGCTGGGTTAGGGTGGGGGTAGACATTTGAGAGCTCAGGGTGGTGGCCTTGGGCCTTTTCACTATGTAATAACTGATTTGGCCATGCTGGTGCATATTGGCTGTATGCATCATCCCTGCTTTCTAGAATACTTCCACGTGTAGTAGTATCCAAGTTCTCTGAGTAGGTTTTATTCTCTTTACTCTAGAGGAGGAAATTGAGGCTCAGACCAGTAAAGTAACTTATCTGGTTCGTGATCGCTTTTCCCCTAAAAATTCATCTCAGAGTTAACCTAGGAGTCAGCCTCCAGTGGTTCCTGTGTTGAACATTGTACTGATTCCATTGTTTTTCACTGATCTTATTCTTTTACTTTCTTATTTAGGCCTGAGTTGGATGCATGTGATGTACCAGAAAAATATCCTCAGCTGTTTCAGGTGACTCTGGATGTAGAACTACAGCCCCATGACAAAGTGGTAGACCTGACCCCACCATGGGAACATTACTGCACAAAGGATATCAATCCCAGCATCCTCTTTTCTTCTCACCAGGAGCATCAAGATACTATAGCCTTAGGAGGTAAGAATCACCTGATGGCTGTGTTTTTAGCTGGAAACCTCTGAGCTGTTAATAAGTCACATTGACTTACTTCGTGTGTTTCATTGACACTGCATGGCCTCTTGTCTTGCAGGACAGGCTCCAGTAGATATCCCTCCAGACAACCCCAGGCATTTTGGGCAAGGCGGCTTCTTTTCCACTCTCTGTTGGCAAGGTACTTCCAGGCATGTCTTTAAGTTGTGGCTAGTTGGTTAAATCACGTAGTTCTTTCATAAAGGTGATTGGTTCTCAAAGCAGCACTTAGAAGTCATCACGTTCCCCCTTACTTGACACTCTCTTGGCTCATTCCTTTTTCAAATTAAACAGCTTCCTGCTTTCAAGTCCATAACTGCTGTTAGACTGATGCAGAGGCTATTTTAAGCTGAATGCTACCTTTTCTCTCTGTGTGGTATATTTGGACTACACTTTTCCTGGGTTTTTACAAATAAGCATGGTATTTATTAGGATCTCCCTTTACACTGCTGACACACAAATGAACTCTATCTCCTGCCCTCAGCTAAATAGTCTAAAAATGTAAAATCTGGTAGGGTTGAGCTTCCCCTGTCTCAGAGAAGGCAAACACTTTGTCCCTTTGCCTCTGCTACTCGCTTTAACAGCCATGGGAGAAATCAGGCTCCATCTCAGTGTCCTTTTCTGCTGAACCTGGTGATGTTTCAGAATCTTTCTAACATAATACTTCAGATTGCTGCCATCGATAGACTGGCATTGACATTCCAATGGATACCCATCTGCCATCCTGTCACCAAAGATTGTGGCCATGGGTTTCTCAAGTCGGAAATCAGAAAGAACCACCCAAGATATTTCCAGACAAGTTTTACTGGACTTGCATTAGGTGTGAGGGAGACAGCACGTGAGGACAGTCTTCCTGACTTGCTCCCTGAGTGGCTGTGTTGGGTTGTTTTTAATAGGCTGTGGATAAAGCAGGCATGATTAAAAGTTGGACAAGACATGGATTTTTTCTGGGTTAGGTCTGGACCACTTCCTCCGTCCTTTGAGTTGCTTAGCAACAATCTCTGTGCCTGCACTGTGAGGGTAAGATGGCCTTGTGGCTCATCACTGCTGCCCTAGGAAGGTTGTATTGCGGTCAAACCTTAATCATACGTGTGGAACAGTAGTTTCCACACCTGGAAATGGTGGGGTGGTTGCATTCCTGCAGTTATTTATCTGGTGTTCCTTCTGGCTACCTGGCATTCCTTTGGCCCCAGGCCCAAGTCCCTATGCTGTCTCAACCCTTGCTTCAGAGTTTACTGAAGTTAACTGCAGGGTTCAACATAGAATTTAATAATAAAGACGTCCTCTGTGGAAGAGATAGGACACTGACTTTGGCAATGGTCTGCTTACCATTTTCTTGATGAGCCTTCCACAGCTGTGTGAACATAAGACAGTATTTCCATGGCCTACGCAGAATTTCCTGTGTTGGTGAAGAAAATTGTTCATAGAATTCCTTTGAATTGAATAGCTTACATTCAGAAATAGGACCAATAACATTTAAAAATAATGGGAAACTTGGGAAATCTAGATAGCAGGCAGATGTCCCAGCTCCCTCTTGATTCCCCCTACATCTTATCTTTCCCACACAGGGCTTTCAATAGAACTTCATGTTTATCTCTTACTGTGATTTCAGTAAGTGATTCAAAAATCATTCCTGTTAGTCTCAGAAATAGGTTTATGCACAGCTTCTTATCCTAACTTTGCTGAGCCAGTTGTGTTTAGGAATGCAGAATTTTTTTGGATTTAGAAAGATGGTGTGGGACATGCTGTGTATGAATTAGCATTCCAAGGCATGTCCGACAGCCTGTACTCAGACATATGAACATTTCTGCAGTGAAACATATAAGTGATAACCCCAAGTGAAATTCTTGGAGACTATAAGTGCTTTCACATCAGCTCTGGTCAGATTATTCTGCCTACTTAGTTTGCATCAAATTTAGGAGAATCTTTCCCTTTTCATAGCTTTTTGCATTTCAGAAATGGGGATAAGAGATGTGGGTCTGTACTTGATTCAGAATGTGGATCTATCTGACATTAAATAATAAAGTTCCGTAGGAGGGGCTGTCTCAAGGAGGGCCTGGAACGTCACTCAGCAGCATCTCTGTTCCTTCCCAGAAGATGCCTCTTTCCTGCTCCCGACTTTGTGCTGGAAGTATGTCCTTTTGGTTTGGTGTAAGGACCATCCTAAGCAGAGCCATTCCCTCTGTTTACTTACTAAGTGTGTGGTTCATTTCAGTCCCAGACTTGTGGGAGGAGGGCCTTGCTTTTGGCTATAGGCCACACAGAAGAGTAAAACAGTGAGAGGAGTCAGCAAAGGAATAGGAAATAATGGTTTTCTAAAGCACCTAGCATTGTACCTGGAAGATAACAACAATAATTATCATTATTAATAAAAAGACATAAATACTTCTTACTATTGATCTGAGCATTCCCTATATATCATCTCATTTATTTCTTACAGAGCCATGTGAGCTAGGTTAGGTAGTATTTATTACCCCTGTTTTGAGGGGGAGAAAACTAGGGCACTGAGAAGTAAAGTAACTTTCTCAGTGCCATAGAGCCAGTAAGTAGTGGAGATGGGATTCAGACCCAGGTTATCTGCTCTTTACCCCTATCCTGTACTGACTCTTAGATGTTTAACAAATGGTAATCAAATGTAAAGTGAAATACATTAAGTTTTCCATTGGAAAGGGTCTGAGAGCATTGTTTGTTCAGGGCTGCTCCTTCTGTCTTTCTGGTGTGTGTGTGTGTTTACCTATACACATATAATTTTAAAAAATATGCTGTGGCCAGTAGCTAATATTTATTGGCATCCTGGCCTTTCTTAGATCAGAAATCGGAGAAATCGTTCTGTGAGGAAGACCATGCTGCCCTAGTGAATCAGGAAAGTGAGCAATCGGACGATGAACTTCTGACCCTTTCCAGTCCACACAGCAGTGCCACTGATGACAAACATCATGGAACCAAAAAGCCCAGCAAAAGGCAGCAGGAGCCAGCTGCCCCTCCACCCCCCGAGGATGTAGACCTTCTGGGCTTAGAAGGGTCTACAGTGAGTAAGAACTTCTCTGCACCAGTGGCTCCTCCCACCAATTCTGAACTGCTCAGTGACCTGTTTGGGGGTGCAGGTGCGGCTGGCCCTGCCCAGGCTGGACAGTCTGGGGTGGAAGACGTGTTTCATCCAAGTGGACCTGCATCTGCCCAGTCAACACCACGCCGGTCTGCCACTTCCACTTCTGCATCTCCAACTCTGAGGGTGGGGGAAGGTAATGTTTTCCATGCTGTGCTATACTTCTCAGTTTTGAAATAGAACCTTTGGGCCAAGCAGGTAGAATTGACCCTTCCCAATAAGCTAGACTTTTCTGGTCTTGCTGAAAGTCCCTCAGAAGTCTATATTTTTATTTAAATGGGGAACACAAGAGGAAATAGAATTTAGGACAGAGTAAGAATGAATATTTGAGCTTCTTGTCCTTACTTTAATTTTTTTTTCAGGGCTTTGGTACCTGAGCTTAGAGATGTAGACTGATGAATTATTATTAATAATGACATCTGATATTTGTGGGGTATTGACTATTTGCCAAACATGGAATTTAATGCCAAACATTTATTCAATTTTTATAATGCCCCAGTAAATAGGTGCAATTATTATCCCCACTTCATAGTGGAGGAAATAGAAGCTTAGAGTCAAATTGGTAGCATACTGTTCATGCAGTTAGAAATTGACAGGGCCAGTGTGCAAAAGTAGGCCATTTGACTCCAAGCTTTTCCTTGCTTTTTCCTGTAATGCCTTCCTGGAATTGTGCTTTTCTGAATACGCTTTGGCTATGCAGAGAAGTACTTGGTTACATCAAGATATATTTAAGGGACTCATTCTATTGGCATGGCTGACTGTACAGAGCTGTTGGTGCCAGGTAAGCAGTTGGAGCTGCATGTGGCTCAGTGAGCTTCATCTTGCTCCCTGCTAGAGACTCAACACTTTCTATGGCTGGACATCCACAGTTTTTTGATATTTGCAAGATAGTGTTGCTGAGTAAACAAAAGCCTGTTAGAGCTTCTAAGAATCAGTTGCTTCTTGTTACCAAGATAACATCACATTAGAAAGAATAAAGAAAATTGTCTCAATATTCCAGGTACATGGTAACCTGTAGGAACTTTTTTTCCCCAAGCATATCCTTCACTTCTCAGAAGGCCTTGTCAGGCACTGATTCATGGTAGCTCAGCTGGAGGTGTTCTTTGTAAGAGTGAGCTTCAAAATCCTTGAATGCAGGTGCTGGGGCTCAAGCTGCTACATGGTGCTGGTGGAGCCAGGATATGAGGTGCCCTGGATCCAGGATATCTCCTCTTCTTCACTTCTTTCCATCTAGTTCTTACTCACCGAAGTGAATGAGAACTCTATCATGAAATTAAAAATCCCCAAGATCCAAGATAGTATAGCACTCTCTGGTCACCTGTTAAGACCATGCATCTCGAGTGACTCTGTGTGATTTAATCCATGATAATTCTGTGCACATAGTTCTGTTCCGGTGTCAGAACTGGAAAGACCCTCTGAGACATTAGATAAATCTGTGCCTCAGGTTACAGACAATAAAATTGAGGCCTAGATATATTGATTGACTTGTCCAAGGATGCATAGCTGATTGGTGGCAAACCCAGATCTAGAACTCAAGTATTCTGTCCCCTTAGAGGAAGTACCATATTTTTAGGACCATAAGACATACCTAGGTTTTAGAGGAGGAAAATAGGAAAAAAAATTTGAAGCAAAAAATATGGTAAAATATTTAAAAACCTGTGACCCCGCTCCACTGCCATGCCCCGCCCCTGTGAGCCAGGCAAGCTACAGTTGGACTATAAGATGCAACCCCACTTCCTCCCAAATTTGCGGGGGGTGCATCTTATAGTCCGAAAATACAGTAGAAAGAACACAGTTCAGAATTAAAGGCCTGGATTTGAATCCCAGGATCAACACGTAACTATCTGTGTAGCCTTATTGATAAAAGCTCAATCTTTTGGTTGTAAAAGGGGATAATATCTACCTATCAGCATTGTTATAAAGACTAAATTTTGAACTCTCATCTGTTAGTATTGGGAAGTTCACTTTAATTATTGGGAAATGCCTCTAATTTAACTAAACATAAACATGTTAACTAAACATTGATAAGTTACATTTCAACATATGTAAGTTGATATGTTAAATGTATCAAGCAATAGAAGATTTTAGCTTCCTCCACTAGTTGGCATCAAACTTAAATGTAGTATCCTCTTATACTCTGTAAATCTCAGTGTTCTCATTTGACAGAAGGGATAAAACTTTGTAAGTATTAAATGATAAGGGATATACTTTGTATAGCAGAGCACCTGACAGACGGTTGATTTACTAGTGCTGCACAGGCTAATTCATTGCCCCGTGGATTGTACGAGAGCACTGTGGCAATGAAGTCGTAGAGGAACATATTAAACCGTATGTCCTACCTGGGCTTTGAGAGTGGGGTTTAATCATTAGCTTCTTTGATTCTAGTTGTCTATTCCTAAATAGGTCATTCCCACTCCAGGAAGCAGTCAACTCATTAGTTGATTACTTACACACTAGGAAGTGCCATCTTACTATAAAGAGCTGAAGGGAGCTTTGTTCCTTGCCCAATAATGAGATATTAAAGGGCAGTTACATGCATGCCACTCTATGTGGTTTTCTTCACATTCATTTCACACCTTGAGAAATGTGAGGTGCCTTTGGGAAGTTCCTGGGATTTGGAGTCAGAAGACTTAAGCATGAATTTCACCCCTATTATTTACTTGATGTTGGGCAAGCAACTTGTCTTTCTAAACCTCAATTTCATTGTAGAATGAAAATAATACCACTTCTGAGGTATTCTTTATGAAAGGCAATGTAGACCCTAAGGAATGATACAATGCTACTGTTGTTGCATTGTTACTGGAAACCTCAGTAGGCCCCTTAGTTCTGGTCTTTTTAGTGAATTCACAAACTTGTTAGCCCTGGAGGAAATTTAAGGAGAAGATGGGCCCAGGAGGCAGATATCATCCTAATTTTTCAGGTATTTGGGCTAGGGCCTGGCAATAGTGACAACTCTTTGATATTTAGTGAATGAATGAACTCATAGGACAAAGACATCCATTTTCCCTTTGTTTTCTAGGTGCCACCTTTGACCCATTTGGAGCACCTTCTAAACCATCGGGTCAGGATTTGCTGAGCTCTTTTCTGAACACATCCAGTGCGTCCAGTGACCCTTTTCTTCAGCCTACAAGAAGTCCTTCACCTACAGTGCATGGTGAGAAGTATTTTACATTGTGTTCAGTGGAACATAGATTTCCACAAGTTATCAGTAGGTACTTAGATTTAAAAGCATCCTGTGGGTGTATGGGGTGGGGTGGAGGAGAAGCTATATAATGCATCTCTCTCTTTTGGAAATTAACAGTTCATACTAACATATTAAAAGGTCTATTTAGACCATAAACAAGTCTGCTTATCTTTGTTTTACTCAGCTTTTCTAAACCTTATTTGACTGTGGAATTCTTTTTTGCATCAGAGCTACATACACAGAATTATGACACCATTGGTTATAGGATTTTTTTTTTAAGTACTGATAAGGAAGAAAAAAATGCTGTCACTTTTAGTTGATTAGAAGATACATCCTAGTTGGGGAAATCAACTAGTAATGTGATGGAATGTGAATGTGAAATGTGAAAAATATGAGTCCAGCTAATAAAATGTGATATGAGCATTCCATAAAATTAGTGTTCTACCAAACAAACTTTAGAATACAACACCCTGCCCTGGTGTGTGCAGCTTAGTGGATTGAGCGCTGGCCTGCAGACTGAAGGGTCATGGGTTGGATTACTGGTCAGGGAACATGCCTGGGTTGAGGACCTGGTTGGGGACATGTGAAAGGCAACTGATCAATGTTTCTCTCCATCTCTTTCTTCCTCCCTTTCCCTGTCTCTGAAAATAAATGAATAAAACCTTAAAAAAGAAAAGAATACAGCACCTTGATGAATTAGAGCTATTCTGTCTAATATGCAGTGGCCACCTAGTACAAAATAAGAATATAAAATATCTCAATATTTTTATATTGGTCACTTGTTAATATTTTGAATATATTGAACTAAATAAAATACATTTCTAAAATTAATTTTACTGATGTCTAAGTTTTTACCTTTTTTAATGTGATAACTATGAAATTTTAAATTACATGTGCAGCCCACATTATGGCTTTATGTTAGAGACTTAGGTTGTGTGGAAAGAATAGTGATCACATGCATTTGTAAGTATAATAGGATATCATGTAGGTAACAGACTAAAACTAGAGCCCTTCAGTGAAGGGCAAATGGCTTTGAGGTAGAGAATTGTGTCCCATTCTTGATGTTGAAGATTATTGAACTTTATTGGCCTCAACCTAGAGAGTGACATGTTGTTGAAGGCACCCTGAGCTTGTCTGGAGTCTGCCGTCCACTCATCAGCTTGACCTCGCAGAAGTTTTGCAAACGTGAAAGGAAGATGAGTTACACAACATTGGTCAAACTGTAACTTGACTGAAAATATAAATCAATCTCAGAATAACTTTTATAGGTAATTTCCACTTAGTCTTAGATATCAAACTATTTGAGAAAGGTCCACAGGACAACATACAAGAAATGCGCCTCTCACCCTTGAGTAATGAGAATCTCTTGATTGGAAGTTGTTTTCCTGGAGAGAAAAACACAGGGATAGAGGTTAATGCTGTTGGGTTGCTCACTTACTTAAAAATGTAAGTTACATCATTGGTCTACTCAAAAGAGCTCCTGATTTCACTCAGCATGGGAGCCAAAGTCCTCAGAATGGCCCACGTAGGCCCTATGTGCCCTAGTGCCCCAGTGACTTCATTTCCCATTGTCTCCCTCTTGTTCCCTCCATTCCAGCCCTGCTGGCTCACTTGCTTTTGCACTGGCTGATTCTTTTCTGATCTTTGCCCAACTGTCACCTTCTCAGCGCGGTCTACTCTGACTGCTCCATTTCATGTCGCAATTTATCCCCCTGCCCCACTCTACATTTTCCTTTCCATGTTAGTTATCAACTTCAATATATTTAATATTTTACTTATGTGATGTGTTTAGTTTTTGTTGTCTATTTCTTCCAGCAAGGCAGGGATTTTTGTTTGTTTTGTTCATTAAAGTTTCCCTAGTGTTTGGAAGAATTACTGGCACACAATAGGTGCTATCTATCCATCTTTCTGATATGTAAATATAAGATTAATTAACTCATTTCTCCTACCTAAGCCTCTTGGATGCATAATGATAGAATTAATGAGGTTGTATATTTTCCTGATTTTTTCAAAAAAAATTTATTTATTTTTAAAGAGGGGGAAGGGAGGAAGAAAAAGAGGGAGAGAAATACTGATCAGTTGCCTTTCATACACTCCCAACTAGGGACCTGGCCTGCAAGCCAGGCATGTGCCCTGACCAGAAATCAAACCATGTACTCTTTGGTTTGCAGGCCAGTGTTCAATCCACTGAGCCACATGAGCCAGGGCTATTTTCCGGATTTTAATACTTTCAATTTATTGTTTTCATAAGAGAACTACATTTCATGTCCCATGGGCATGGATGTTCATACTTCAGCCTGGCAGTTCTGGATCAGGTTCTCTGTGTCTTATGAGCTGATTAGAACCTGGTCATTACCCAGTGTAAGTCAGTTAGCGCCCCTTTGTTTGGTGGCCACACTTCTCATTTTGGCCTGTCTTGCCAGTGAATGAAAAGAATTTTCCACCATCCTCGTTTGGAAATCAATGATCATCCCACTGTTAGTGGATCAGTCACATATTCTTCATATAGGATAACATATATGTGAGACCCAGATGTCAGATTTCGAGGTCAGAGTTGCCCACCTTCAGCATTCCCTACCTTGGTGAAAGGTGCCTGTTCCCATTTTTTATCCAGCTATGAAAGTGGAAACCTGGAGTCATTTTCCTCAAATTTCCACAAAGCACCACTGTCTTTTCTTAAAATCAAGAAGTATTACCCTTGAGCTGTACAAATATTTAGTGAACATCTACTCTAAAGAGGATAAGCACTTGGGGCATAGTGTTAGAAGGAAAATAAAAACTGTAATAAAAGGCAGAGAGAATACAAGTATTAGGTAATTACCTTTTCATTTGTATGTCCCTCTCTCCAACAGATTTTAAGTTTTTTGAAAATAGGCAATGTGTCTTTTAGTTCTCTGTTCCTTGGCAGGGTGCCTTCCATATGGTAGGTGGTCATAATGATTTTGGGTTTGACTAGTAATAACACTGAACTTTTGATACCTAGTTCTACATCCTAGTTAGATATCAGAGTAAAGTCAGAGTGTAAAGAAAGTCAGACAGCAAACGTTAGTAAAAAAAAAAGGGTCTAATTTACACCTCAGTTTTCAGGAATTACTGTGGAATAAGAATAGAAAGGAAAGAACTATTATTACTCATAAGAGTGTGTTCTTTTTAAACTTAATGGTAGGAAGGTCAAGATGTCTTGGTTTGTACTAAGCAAACAAAACAAGTAAATATGGGGTTGGTAATGCCGATATTGGTGAACTGATGATTCTTTGGGTGGTGGTGGTGATGAGTATGTGTATATTTCAAATTCCACTTTTAATGTATTTGCATTTTACTCACAGATTTTATTGACAGAATTTAGAGGTGCTTTAGAAAGAAATTCTTTCTTATGACATCCTGTTTATTACTTGCATTTTATAGATTCAGAAAAAATTTAGTACCAATGTATATTACTCTTATACAGCTGATTTTCCTTAGCTAAATAAACATCATGGAAGGAATAGCTATGTGAACTTAGAAAAGTGGGCTCTAAGCAACTTGTTTTGATTTTTTGTTGCTTCTAATTTTTAGCTTCAAGTACACCTGCTGTGAACATTCAGCCAGATGTTTCAGGAGGTTGGGACTGGCATGCTAAACCAGGTAAAGGTCAGCAGGGTATTTTTCTATGCACACTTAGCCAATTGTTAAAGCATGACCATTCATCCAAGATAAGTGAGTACTTACAGAATATCATAGCCCACCCATGTAATTTGTGTTGATTTTTCCTAAAGACATGTTCTGGTAGAACTTCCCCATTGCATTTGATGTGGTAGTGCTGTAATGTAATATATTATAAATTATTTTTCTAAGTCTCATTTGCTGAATATCTCCTTTGACACTAGAACTAGGTGGATCTGGATGTATATCTAACTGTGCCTTGGATGTTTTTTACAAGTTTGAATCTCAGTTTTGTTTTCTGTTAAGTGGTGATCATACTTCTTGTCCCACACAGTTGTACAGTTTAAGTGAAATCACATGACAATTTCTAGCATAGAGTAGATGTTATATAATGTGGATGGTCCTCCTTCTTAACAAAGGACTTGGGTCAAGGCTGGATTTGTCTCTGATGAGTAAGTTGTCTTCCTCATGGCTAGATGGTACTTATTGAGAGCTGTCTGTGTGACTGCATCCCCTGCACTATGCAAGTGACACACACATGCACACAATGTGCTCATCACAGCAACTTTCTGAAGCAGTGTCTGTTTCTTTATTGAACCAATAAGAAAACGTTGGAACTCAGAGAAGTTAAACAATGTGCCCAGGGCCACTCATCCAGGAAATGGCAGAGTCAGAATTCAGACACAGGCTTGGCTGCAAATTCCATAGAAAGAATGAAGCCAGATGACAGGAGAGGTAACCTGGACGGTAGCTCACAGGTATGGCCAGGAAACAGCATATGCCTTCTTTGCTCTCTGACCCCACCCCAAGCCACTCTTCACTTATGCCAGAAAAGCAAGGTCTAGCAAACTTCTAATGTATTTCCAAATCCTGTCCTCATTTGCAGTTGGAGACGAGATGAACAGTAGGTTTGGGTTTCTGAACTTCAGCCTTTAGCCTTAGGCAGCTGACTCATTTTCAATGATCTTATTTCCTTTTCAGGAAGTTTTGGAATGGGAAGCAAGTCAGCTGCCACCAGCCCTACAGGATCCTCGCATGGCACCCCCACGCATCAAAACAAACCCCAGACTCTGGATCCTTTTGCTGACCTTGGGGCACTAGGTACAAACCTAACAGGTTAAGATGTTTACTTATGGCTACAAAACCTCAAATCTAAATCTTTAGTGTCATAATAAGCTGGAACCTAAAATCTTATGTCTTCTTAAGCTATATATAACTCTAAATCCTGTAATTGGTTAAAAAAACAACAACAGGCTTCAAATAAGGAATTGAAACTAACTCCTATTAATCTATTTCTCCAATGTCTAATTTTGGGTTAGTAACACGAATAAAGTTAGAACTTCCAGAAGCATCTGACAACAGAGTTTGGCAGCAGCAAAAGTAATGAATGTGTAGAAAAACACTGAGCGATGAAGCTGGTCAAACAGCCTTGAGCCACACGGGACCAGCTGTGCACAGGCCTTCTTCTGATGCTACCCGTGAGAGCCTCACGCTGGCATCCCCCTTCTTGTTATTGACTGCAGTGCTCTCTGGTCAGTTTGTGAAATCACACACACAAATACTCACTCTCTGTCCAGTGTTTTCATCATATGTTAATTGTTGTTGGAGGATAAGTGTTACACGAGCAAGTGATTTTGGAATCACTGGGTTCCGTGGACTCTGACTGCAGCAAACATGTCTCAGAATAAATAGCCACAGTGATGCTTTCCAAAAGGGACAAAGTTTGCCGTGTTCTCAAACTGTTTCACCAAGAAAACACTTTTTAAGGACTAGTTCATTGGATGTTTTGAAGCCTTGTCTTCCTCTTGTTTCCTTAGTCGTCTAGGTGGTGCAGAGTTGTTAAATAGTGGGGAACGAGCCCTGACACCAAGGTTTGAATTAGCCATGTTGGTAGTTCAGGTTCTCAAAAGCCCTGAGGTATTTAGAGCCAAATTGTGTGCAGGGAAGGAGAGCATGCTACCATTTTTTACAGTGATTGTGTCGGAATCTTGACCTTTCCTTACACATGTTTTAGAATTATTTTCTTTGAAGAACTCTGAAAATTATTTTCCCTTCTTTGTATTTTAATGTAAGCTGAAAAATTTAAAATAACATCAGGTGAGTTTCTACTTCAAATAAAACCTCATTGACAGGTCATTTTTTTCAAATCCATTTATTCATTTCACAACTATTTAGTTATTGCCTTCAATGTGCTAATAAAAACCAACCAACCAAAAACAATAAAATAAAATTTCTGTCTTCTAAAGCTTATATTCTAGGAGGGAAAACAAATAGTAAATGAATAAATTTATAACCTAATAACAATGTTTATTGGGGATTTACTATGTACCAGGCACTATTTTAAGTGCTTCACATATATAAATTTATTTCATCTTCCAATAATCTTCAGAAGTAGACTATTATAATCCTCCTTTTGTAGACGAAGAAACTGGGGCACAAAAGGTAAAGTAACATGCTCAAGTAATAAAGTTTCAATACTGAAGTTCCAGCTCTAATGCTTGTGCTCATAACCCCTGTGCAGAGTGCTATGAAAAAAAGAAGGTGAGTGATGGCTGGACTGGGATGTTATTTTTAGATTCAAGTGGTTACGGAAGGTCTCTCTGAAGAGTGACCTTTATAGAAAGTTCATTTTTAAAATCCAGCATTGTATCTTGCATTTTGTTCTCATGTCCTTTTGACTGGTTAATCTGGAATCATTCCTCAGCCTTTCATTGCCTTTTATGAAACTGATACTTGAAGGGTACAGACCAGTTAAGAAAGTCTGAATTTGTTAATTTTTATCACTAGCTTAGGGTGATGTCTGCCAGTTTCCTTCATTGTAAAGTGAACATATTTCTCTTTGTAATTAATGAATAACCTGAAGGAGATAATTTGAGAGTATTTTATATGAGACAAACCTTTTGGAGAATATTTTATTCTCCATCTGACTTTTACCCACTGATTTTGGCATTCATTAATGTTTCTTGCCTGAAGTAGTCATTACTATGATGTTTGCAAAACTGTGATTTTTCTGATTCTTTCCTTCTTTCTACATTTATTAATTAGCATTTCACTGTGAGGAAAAACCTTTTCTTTCTCTTTCCCTCCCTTCCTCTCCCTCACATCAAATGGACTGATGAATGTTTTTTGACTTAGTGGCTTACCATTTATTACTGTCCTTATTGTCCCAGGCTTGATTTGTGAAAGCCTCTTTGTTCTGCCTTCTATATCTGTTTCACTAGATTCTGTTAGGCAGGACAGACAGTAAACTAAGACAGGGAGGCAGAGGGAGACATCACTAACTCAGCAGTCCTGAGCCTGGTCCAATAATATTGCCAGGTGTTCCAACATCACAAGAAATACCACGGGGAGCCCTTGAAATTCTGTGTATAATTTCCACTATCTGGAAAAGAATTTGTATTCATCCCAAGGTCTAGACCAGGGAAGAGGAGGGGGTCCACAGTGCCCAAAGAAGAAGCCCATAAAACCACTTTGATTAATTGCCTGCCTCTGGTCACTGTCTGTTTTAGAAGGGGGTCCCTAGTGTTTACAGAAAGAGTCCATAAATAACTTTGGGTAGCTGCCTCAACTCTAATTAACTACCTCCTGTCACATATCTGTTTTATAACAAGATGAACAAATGGAGTCTTGAGCAAGATAAAAATTCGGGCTACCAGACCCTTACACATAAGTATGTTTGAGTAGTTATGTCACCCTAGGGAAGCTGGAAGCACCTTGACCTACCAATCAACATGTAACTCACTCACCCCATCCTGCCAACTATATAAGTCCTTGGGCCAAGGGACTGGATGCCCTTGCCGCCCTTACTTTGCCCTGACCTGAACCTAGGTCTTTCTTCCCCACATCAGCAAGGCCCAATCTCTTTTCTGAGAAGATACCACTAATAAATGCTGCATGCACGCTAATAGATTTGCTGGTCTGTAATTCTTTACTGCATCAGCAAGAGGAATGAAGTTTCCCCCTTAACAAGTCTATCTTTTGAGAATTTTTAAAGTACAACAAGATGTTCTAGATTTGTCTTGAAATTTTTATAACTTAGTCCTGGAAATAGTCATTCTCCAAAGTATCCTCATTTCCTTTTGTGGGGAATGGTACTTAGAAATCCAAGTCTGTACACTAAGTGTGCTCACTATACTGGGCTGCAGGTCATTGCTCTACGTTTTGGGAGATAAAGATATGAAATGATGGGGTATAAATATCTAGATTTCCATCCAGTCCCACAGGGTTCTTCCTTGCCTTCCCGTATTATATGTGCATATCTTCCTGTTCCCTGTGTGGCAACAACACTAATAGTCAGACAACAAAAATAGTTTCAGAATAGCTAGACACATATCACTACAACACATCTACTAGGAAGAGTTCAAGTGTTCTTTGTCATTTTTGAAATGCAGTAATTTTTACAAATGCTGGAAAAATTAGTTTTGTAAATTTCTCCACTTTTTCTAGTCACATAACTTAGGAAGGTTAAGTGACTTTCCTAAAGCCACACAATGGACAGGAGTATGAGCAAGGGCTACAAGCTAGAATTTTTGACTCCTTGGTAATTGCTTCACAGTAAAAATTAAACTTCCAAATTATATAGCTGCAGTTTGGGAAAGACAAAAGACAGTGTTCTTCTCTTTAAGGTATTTGCACATTGAACAGTTCTAATATAAACATTTATGCCTTAGTTCCTCCCATAGCTACTTTGATTTACTTGATATGCCTGTGGCTTGGAAATAGGGAGTTTTAAAAGTGCCCCCAGTGGCTCTAATGCAGCCAAGGCTATGAACCATGTTCAGAGTTGTCAAGAGTGTTGGCTGTGTCTGCTCTCCCACGATGAATGCAAGTAATGTGAAATTGAAATCTTCTTGTGAGATTTCAAAACATATCTGTTTACTCTTGAGCATTAACTGCACTTACAACAAACAATGATAAACCTGATCATTCAAGTTTAAATAGCACCTTAATGAGTGAATATATCTTATTTCCTATTCTTATCATTTGGTAGTTTTTACTCTATTGAAGAAATAGAATCTGCTTAGGAGGTGGGATGGAAAGAGGGATGGCACGCGGGAGAAGAGCCAGGGCTCTTCTGGCTTGGAGTAAAAGACTTGGATTCAAGTCCCAGTTCTGTCACTTGCTGGCTGTGTGACTTTGAAAAAATCACTTACCTGCTCTGAGCTGCAGTTTGTTCATCTAAAGAAAAGATGGGACTATTAATACATACCTAAAAATATCATTGTGGGGATTAAAGGAAATATATACCTGCATTTTTTTAACTATTAGGAAGGTTAATAGTGCTATTAATTACTAAGGCAATTTCCACTAAAGTTATTGCAAACAATAACTCAGGACACAAAAGTTAGAGGCTACTCAAAAATAGCATTACCTTCTTTCTCCCCTTTTTCTCTGTAGGTAGTTCGTCATTTGCCAGCAAACCCACCACACCAACTGGATTGGGTGGGGGATTTCCACCTCTCAGCTCACCACAGAAAGCTTCTCCGCAGCCTATGGGTGGAGGATGGCAGCAGGGAGGTGGCTACAACTGGCAGCAGACACAGTCCAAGCCACAGCCTAGCATGCCACACTCCTCTCCCCAGAACCGGCCCAACTACAACGTGAGCTTCTCAGCCATGCCTGGGGCCCAGAATGAACGTGGGAAAGGACCAACCAATTTGGGTAAGGATGATGGTATGGAGCCTGGTGTGGGGTGGCCAGTGTTGTCATACTACCTGCATGGATGTATGTCTGAAGAACGAGACAGAAAACAACTCTGGTGGTTTCTGAGGCAGTCTTGTAATTTTAGAAACACAACATGACCCCTGCCTCTGACTCTGTGCCTAGAGCATTTACCATGCTCTTAACACATAGCATTTTGTGACCATTGGCTCACTTGTGTGTTTCTTCCCATGCTGAGACCAGGTGGAGGGCAGGGACTCTGTGTGTTTTTGCCATGTTATCATTAGCACATAGTATAGCACTTGGCATATCTAGGCACTAAATGAGTATTCAGTGGATGAGGGGAAGGTTGGGTGGATCTTGAAATTGTCATTCCTTTGAAAGAGGGGGTAGAAGAGAAAGCTTGGGAACCTTTTAAGAACTGTGTTCACATTTGCCCTCAGGTCCTGATGAGAGTGTGTATATCTTAGATATTTAGTCTTTCCTATGCTCTGGTTGCTGGATGTTCCTGAGACCATTGAGTTTCCTGTGATATGTTTTTTCTCTCTTCTGAGAAGAAAGTTAAAAGAACACAAAATGGGCCAATAGCATAAGGCTGAAGGATAATCTGGATGCTATTCTTTTTTATTTTTATTTATTATTGTTTTTAAAATCAAATATAAAGGTTTATTTTTAATTCTGTGGTTGTATCCCAGATTTGGCCTTCATATGTATACAGATTTTTTTTAATTTTTACTATTTGAATGGGGTTCTTGACATGTAAAACACATTTTGCTCACCCTGGCTGGTGTGGCTTTGTGGATTGAATACTAACTTGTGAACGGAAAGGTCACAGGTTAGATGTCCTGTCCGCACACGTGCCTGGGTTGTGGGCCAGGTCCCTAGTTGGGGCATGTGAGAGGCAATCAACTGATGTTTCTCTCCCTCTCTTTCTCTCTCTAAAAAGAAATAAAATCTTTAAAAGTATTTAAAAAACATTTTACATAGCAGGGATGGTTAAATTTGAGTTTGCTAAAAGGCCTGCTGTGATACATTTTTGCATTTCTGTTGATTTGATCATATCCAAGGATTAAATGTGTAGGCATATGATGTGGAAACAGGCCTTTCCCTCTCGGAATCCATGGAGAGAAAGTGGAATCCAAGGAAAGTCCTTTTCCTATTCGCAGAAGCTAACATTTATTGAGTACTTACTTACTTGATTGACGTCTGGTGCTATTCTAAACAATTTTCATGTATTACTTCATATAATCTTCAAAATTGACCCCATGTGGTAGATGAGGAATCTGAGACAGAGATCGATAAAGTAATTTCTTAAATTCGAACAGCTTGTAAGTAACAGCGCTAAGATTTGAACCCAGGCAATTTGGCCCCAGAAAGCCTTCTCTTAACTGCCATACTCTACCGGCCATGACATAGATGCCTTTTCACACTACTAACATGGTAGGGATGCTTTTATCGGGAATGTGTAATATCATGATTTGTGGTTCGCAGTGGATGTTCCTTGGACAAATCCATGAGTCTTGTGGCTTCCTTTCTGTCTGTACTTTGAGTAGATATGGGGTGAGTGTCTTTAGTTGGAAAATATTTATGGAGCATCTTCAGTGTAGAACACTGGGGACACAGCATCGAAGAAGACAGACAAAATCCCAGTCCCAGTGTGTGCTTGTGTGAGTATGTGTATGGTATACCTTACAGTGCAGAGATGGCAAGTGGGTTTCAGTTCAGACACCAGCTTTGGTTGATGGGTGCTGCTGGTATGGACTGCTGTGTTTTGGTTCTGTTTGTTTTAATTTAACAAATGTTTAAATAGCCAGGTACTGTTCTACATACTTTAAAATGTTAATATCAACTCTCACAACAACCCTGTGAGGTAAGTAGTATCATTAACACTGCACCCATTGTACAGATGAGGAGACTGAGGCATGGAGATAAGTAATTTGCCCCAAGGTAACATTGCTAATAAGTAGTAGAGCTGGAATTCAAACCCCAGGGAGGTCTGTCTCCAGGGTCTCTGTTCTTTACTATCATGCTAGGCTGCCTTTCCTAACAGACTGAGATTGAGACCACAGCCAGACTTGGAGAAAAAGGCCACTATGAGGGACTAAAACTGTCAGCTGGGTGTAGGGAGGAAAGCAGTAGCATATGTGGATTCCAAGAACCAAAACCCAGACCTCTGCTCCACCACTGATGCTAACTAGTTGTACGACTGGGGCAGGGAGTGGGGGAGAATCATGAGTGCTCTCATCTATAAGTAGGTGGTTACATGGAGATGCAATTATGGAATTGTATTTCATTTAACAATCTAGCCTCACCTCCTAGCTTTGCCATGGACATGATATGTGATTCTGGACAAATCTCTTAAGTTCCATCGACCTTATTTTCCTCGTTTATAAAATGGGCGTAGCACTCTTTTACTCTACCCACAGGGTAGATGTGAAGATTAAGGGGATTAATAATGCATGTGAAAGCACCTTGAAGACTCAAGTGTTATGAGACATGGTGTGATATTATGTTTAAGAGTGAAAACTATAATGATTTTTAAAAACTACATTGCAGAAGGGAAACAAAAAGCAGCTGACTTTGAAGACCTACTTTCTGGTCAAGGCTTCAATGCACACAAAGACAAAAAGGGGCCTCGAACAATAGCTGAGATGAGAAAGGAAGAAATGGCGAAGGAAATGGATCCTGAGAGACTGAAGGTGAGGGAGTCCCTGACTCAGTATCATTACCCTGTGTGACGAGGTCACGTGTGCAGAGCCATTGACCTTCCTGGTTCCTGGCTTCCTCGCTGCTTTCCTCCACATTTACCCAGAGCAGCTTTGCTTTTAGCTGTTTTTGATTCTGGAAGTCTAAGTAAGAATTGACTTGGAGAAAAAGAATGTTTCTCCGTGTTTTTTTTTTCAGTTTGTAAACCAGGTACTCTCACCCCCTTTTTCCACAGATGAGGAAGCAGATGATACTTCATATATGAGGATGTTGTGTGGACAGGTTAGCTTGGAAACAAAAGTGTGGTTGTGCTGGTGAATTGTGTGAGGTAGTAGAAAAGTTTGTAAAGGTCAAGAGAATAGGAATGCCCTTTGTAGAGGGAGAGGTATAATTTCTGTGTGACGAAATACTAAATGTGCTGCCACTGTAGCAGACTGGAAGGTGGGGGTCTCATCTGTTACTGCATCAAAGCCTCTCCCAAACCAGGGCTGCTGCAGGCAGGCAGTCATTTTGAAATATGACACATTTCTGGATAGATTGGAACATTTTTGAAGATGTATAGATATTTTAACACTTTTTTGTGTATAATAAAAGACCCTTTGTTTGTGTTTGTTTTTCACTTCACGTAACATCACAGAGGCTTTATATTCCTTCCAGAAACTCTTTGCCCCAATTGATAACTTTTATTCATTAGGCAAACTCTGACAGTTTTCTATCAAAGAAGTCGTGTATGTCTTTTAAACCATGCTTGGTTATTGAGTTGGCACGGAGGTATTACTTGTTTGGGTGAGTAGCCACCACTAACCTTGACTGAACCATCCATCAGCAAGCACACACCGAGCTCCTGTAATGAGCTCAGTTACGTGCAACGTTACAAAACCATTAACTTAATGGCCTCATTTGTTCAAAATATGAAGATCCAAACTAAGAATAGTTTGAATGAGTGACTTAATGGGTGAATTCATTTAATAAACCTTTTGTGAGCTCTATTCAGTGGCAGGAGTTATTTGGTTTCTGAGATAACACCATTGTAAAAGGAACAGTACCTTTCCTCAGGCAGCTCAGCCTTATGGCAGGGAAGGACAAACACGTGGACAATTACATTCAAGTGTGGCATATATTATGATAGAAACATGTTTAAGGGCATGGCCCAGAAAATTCTTTCTTTTCTTCAAGGCGTATTTATTTTGTGTCTGTGTGCCAGATACGATACTAGACAGAATCAGAGAGTAGATACCAAAATAGACATGATGTGTGTCCCCATGGGGTTCATACTCCAGGAGTGAATAATGAACTCTGGAGTTGCACAGAGAGGAAGGAATTCAGACTGTCAAAGGGGAACAGTATGAAATTCCTGAGCAGGCTTTTGAAGGATGGTGAAGAGTCAACCAGAAAGAGAAGGCAGGAAGTGGAGGTGGGGAAGCATTACAGGTAGAGGAAACAGCTGGGAGAATGCAGGGAGCCTCAGGTCCTTTGATGTTGCTGGAGCAGAATCTCAATAGAGACCTTCTGAATTTCTTAATTCCCATGTATTACAGATTCTGGAGTGGATTGAAGGCAAAGAGAGAAATATCAGAGCACTTCTCTCCACAATGCATACTGTGCTGTGGGCTGGGGAGACCAAATGGAAGCCGGTTGGCATGGCAGACCTGGTAACGCCAGAGCAGGTGAAGAAGGTGTACAGGAAGGCTGTGCTGGTGGTGCATCCAGATAAAGTGAGCATAACCTGCCCTCTTGTATGGCCTGTTTGGTGCTCATTTCATTAGTTTATAAGCATATATTAAAAAGCATACTTTCTATTTGCTGGTTATTAGGCAATTTATATGATAAAATAAAGTCCATGGGCTAAAATTAGGTATTTAAGTGAACAGTTATATTTTATGAAGTGGATGGGGAAAAGAATCAAACTATATATTATAAATAACAGAATGGGAGCTTTTCTTAGAGAGGTGTAAGATTTACCAGTGACTAATTTTTAATGTCTCCAAGAACTTAGCTGCTTTTAGAAATGGGAAAATGGGAGTTTAGAAATACGGTCAATTGGAGATCGGCTGTCATAAATCTTTGTCATTTGGTAAATACTTCTGGACAATAGAGAAGAATCTTTTTCAGCCTAATAAGTTCTCTGTTATCTACTCATTGACCTATTACTACTACCGTAAATGAATTTCTAGGGGGAGGGCATTCTGGGGAGGTTGTAGTAATTAGGGTCATGTAGATTGGGCTGTAAGAAGAGAAATGGCCTAATTGGAAAACATTTCAATAATGTAGAGCCCACTTTTGGCAGTGAAAATTTAATATAAATAAAATCTTGGTCTCTGCTGTCTAATGTATGTTTTCTTTTTTTTCTGTAGGCTACTGGGCAACCCTATGAACAATATGCAAAGATGATTTTCATGGAGCTCAATGATGCCTGGTCTGAATTCGAAAATCAAGGCCAAAAGCCCTTGTACTAATTTTCCATGTCTGCTGGAGACCTGTGCAAATGCTTAGCGTGTGTCATAATTCTGAGGTTTTCAAAGATGAACCAAAAACTCTGGTAACACGTACCAGTACTAAACTGTTCAATTACTTGTGAGTTAATTCCTCATTAATAAGGAATGTGGTTGTTTGTTTTTTCAAGTCCCTGCCATAAAAGAACCAAAGCAGGACAGGACCTTTTAGTTAGATGACCTTGCAGAGCTACAACGTTCCACCCTGCCCTTTGCAGAGCCCTCTCAGCATATTGTGGGGAAATGGGAAATAAAGGCCACCAAAAGCATAACCCATCTCATTTTCTGGAGATATGATTAATGAGCAAAGTTATGGTAATAGGATTACATGATGGATTTTAACTCATGGTTATTAGATTTTTGTGGAAAGATATAATTTGAGCAACTGATTTAGACTCCAGAAATATAACCACCAAGTTGTTTTTTTTTAGTGGAAATTTACTATGGCCTTTAGAGTAACACTGTGTACTTCTTTTGGTCAAGAGGACTGACAGATGCAAAAGAACTTGAGTTGTGGGAAGTGACTGTACTATAATCCGGTGATGACCACCAACTCTTCCTGGATAAGCTAAAAATTAGTGAAAATACAGGTTAAAGAAAATAGGGACTCTGAGGAGGTAGAAATCTTTATTTCCAGTCAGAAAGTTGGGCTACTACCTTCCTTTCCCTTTAGAAAACTGGTTGCTCAGTGAAAAAAGTCTCAACACGATAACAACAACCTGGTTTGAAAGAAACGTCTTAATTGCTATCAGGTGTAATGCTCTTCCTTTCGCTTAGCCAAGAAATGTTCTTAGCTTGTTGTGAAGCAGTTTGGCACATTCACAAGTGGTCGGGACAGGTATCTGGTATGGACTGAGCATCCTCTAGGTGTGCAAGTAGCTGTGGTGAGAGAAGATGAGACAACACTGAGCATGAGTAACAGTCAAGTGCAGTGGCAGGGAGAGAGCTGTGCTACCTGCACACGGAGTCAGGTGGCTTTTCAGGATTTCCACGTTCCTCTCCTGCCAGGTGAAACTGGATCTCTTGGATTATTTCAGTGGGGTTTATTGCTTTAAAACTCGTTGGCGATCCCCAGGACCAACACCTCACACAGGGACATCTGTAAAAGCAAAGCAAGAGTGAAGTCTTTGCAGAATTCAGACCAGTTGGATTTTAGTTCAGTGTTTGGCTGTTTCTGGTTTTGAGGGTAAGCCACTGTTATCCCATGAGTTTAGTAGAGCTCTTCGGCGCGCATGCACACAGTGTGCATAGTACACATGTGCAGAGCAGAGGGGCAGACAGATTTCCTTCCTAACTTTAAAAGGTTCATGCTCAATATTGTGAAAAGCTTTCAAAAATTGTTTTTTAAAGACAATCATTTTTTGTTTCTATTTTAATTTTCTTATGGCAGACTCTACTAGAAAAGCAGCATGTTAAAAATGCTTTATGTTCCAAATTAGAAAAAAGAAAAAAATATTCTTTATGTTTTATATAGAATTTTCTTTCTTTTTTTTCATTAAAAGTGTTCTTTTTTTAATTTTACTTTTTACTCACCATGTGAAACTCACAGAAAATGTTCTTTTAAAATATACAGCTGTCAACTCTTCAAGGTAACCATAACAAACTAGGTGTTATTTATTAACGTATTATAAAATAATATTTGATTCAGTATGTGCTTGTCTTATTTAAAATTGGAATGTGAGACATGTTGCCGTGACTTGTTTTTTCCTTGATTCACAATTGTAGATATTATGTGAACTACAGTATATAATGATAATAATTAAAAGGATATTATGTGAATGTCACATACATTTTGAAATGATAGAAATATATTAGCTTTGAATCATGTTGGGATAATTCATCAATGTTCACAGTTTAAAACATCATTAAACATTATGTAAGTAGCAATGAGAAAGAATCTTACCTAACTTAACTTTGGGTTCGCCCATCTCTTTCCCGGATACATTATAACTCGGGGCCCCTGTTTATCTCAAAACTCTTAGCATACGCAGGCCAACAGGTTTTTGCATTCGTTTTAAATATCTGGTTGTGACAGAGTTTCTTGTTGATCAAATTCACTGTTTCATTCGTATTTATTGTAATATATTTTTGTTTTGTAAATATGTTACAAACAATAAAATGTGATTGGTCTAAAATATTTGTAATGTATATTAAAAGGCTCAAAAATATTTGTAGAAATCTAAGTTATTTTTGCGCTCGTAGGAATATAGTGACAAGCTTGAATTATACCTCCTGACATGATTCACATTTAAGAAAAGTTATGGGGAAAGAATATGAAAAGCACATGCACATTTGTACCAAAATGTAATCTGACAGTATTTCTGGATTTATACTCTAATCATCCCCACTGCCATCCTTGCGCCCATAGGCCCACACAGTTGGATCATGCTGCATGACTACATGTTTCAGAAAGAATCAGCATGGAAATCCCGATCTCCTAACTAGAATATTAATGGGCTTACAAAGCTTTTTTCAGATACTGTAGCAGAGGGATCAATCCTGGGAGTCTGAGACTTTGTCATAGAAAACAGTTTAGTTCTTTTCAGACAGAAGTAGCATGTTTATTTGGAAGCAAATGCTGTAAATCAAAAGAATTCAAATAATCACTGTATTGTCTATGTCTGCAAGAACACTCTAGCTGAGTCCTAATGCTGGTGACAAACACCACTGTTTAAGGAATGAACACAAAGGTTGAATTCCAGAAATAGTTATCACAGCAATAGGACAGTTTCCCCACTGGAAACAGTGATAGGGAATTTAGGTCAAGTAAACATGTTCAGGTTGTTCTAAAGCTAAACCATGGTGTTTGTGCATAATGATACAGTATTGATTTGAGACCAGAAGACTGAGTTTGAATCCTGATTTTTCCACTTAAGACTGTTATTTCAGACAAGTTCCTTAAAAGTCCCTAAGTCTTAATTGTATTATCTGTAAAACAGAGATAATCCTAATAGCCCTGTAACAGTGGAATTAGAGACTGTATAAATAAACTGTTATTAAATGGATACTCACTAAACAGTAGTTGCTATTACGGAGAGTCAGTAAGACAGTGCATCGCTGCAGGTCAGTATTGAAGCTGGAGTTACACTGAAACCTTAGGTTGTGGGCAGTGGATAACATGAGTAGGAAAAGACAACCAATTTGCTCTTCTTTGTTTAAAATTTTTTTATTGATTGATTAGAGAGAGAAACATCAATTTGCGGTTCCACTTATTTATGCATTCCTTGGTTGATTCTTGATGTGCCCTAACCAGGGATTGAACCCACAACCTGGGTGTATCAGAGCGATGCTCTGACCAGCTGACCTACCCCACCAGGGCCTTGCTTTTATTTGTCTCCTTGTCCTGACAGAGATCTGTGTGCATGTAATGGCCAAGACTTGCCTTGTAAGTTTTGTAAAGGGGATGACTGTGTGAAAAGAGTAGTTGTTGAGAGTTAGGAAAGAAAACTAACATTGATATCAATAGTGTTGCACCACACTTGCATTTAACTTATGCACGGACTTGGGAGCCAACCCCAGTGCAGTGCCATTGCATCAATCTTTCATGCATGGCCCTATGTGCTATTACATAGATACATACACTTTTTCTCATTTCATCCTCAAAAAGTTCTGAGAGGCAGATTTTGTAAATCCTACACCAGGAAACAGATGCATGAAGTGGGTTACTCAGAGCTGGAGTTTGAGGCTAGATCTTTTCTGTAGGATAGGGAGAGATACTACAATATATAAGGTGAACTTTATTAGTTTCTGTTATTTTAACCATTATCTCATGTATGCTGTATGCAAGATACAAATGGATATATAAGGGAAAATCAAATTAATGAATGGATTTCATTGTCCTGTTAAACATAAGGGGCTGTTATTTCTAATTACTGTGACATTTGTTTGTGTGCAAGATCCATTGCACAAGCGCTGACCATCTGACTTCAGAGTTGAACTGTTTTGGGCTTGACCTCAGCTTCCCTACTCACTAGTTACTAATATCTAAGCCTTAGTTTTCCCATCTGTAAAATGGAGATAATAAGATGTAGTTTATAATGTGAAAGAACCGAATACAAGCAAAAAATATAAACATATTTCCAAAGAAGGTCACTGTAGTTCTGCACAGCGTGATAGAGGACACGGTCTTACATATCCAAGTAATGCATTGATGGCAAGTTAGTGAGAGGGTTTAAGCTTCCAAGGTTTTACTTTCTGTTTTTGGTGACTCTTATTCTTGAAAAAACATGGAAGGGGTAAGTAGAAGACCAATTTTTCAGTGCAGCATCTGGCAAGAGGGAAGCAGAATTTTCTCAGATTGTTAAAGCCTTGAGCAAGATGGCTAACTTTCTCTTTAAGTGCTTATTAGTAAGCTGGAAAGGACAGCTGCCGTGGGCAGGAAGCCTGGAGACCAATCCTGGCTCTGCAATTTTCTACGTCTTGACATCACCCTGGGGTGAACACCTCATCTTTTTTCTTCTCAAACAGCCTTCCAGTTTCTTACTGTTAAGCCTAAGGCACTCAAACCAAGCTGTGCCTCTGAAGAAATGTCACTTTTCTCCAAAATCATTCCTTTCTGTGGGGCTAGCCTCAGGTTGACATGGAAGGCTCTAGCAAACACTTATATATAGCTTTCCAGATAACTTGCTGGGTGGTTGGAAATAAAAAGGGAAATAGATTTGACCCAATTAGGAAATCCTCATCAATTTAGGTGAAAAAAAAATCTTAACTTCCTCATGAGAGCAAGATGGCACTATAGTGAGCTAAAAAAGACAGACTTTGGGTGTTTGAGTGATAGGTAGTTTCCCCTGAGCACTTTAACAGGTATTAGAAAGAATAGGATACTCAAAATAGGGAAGGAGTTCTCAACTCTCTTGACTAGATTGCAGCTACAGAGTGCAGTGTAATTCTGGATCTTCAGGGGTCTGCAGGAGCCAGGTATTAGCAACACCGTGTTTTTAATAAATGTACCTTCCATCTATGAGGAGACATGGTAGGAACCAGAAGGATAAACTAAAGTCACAGGTAATTACATGTATTAAAACAGTAAGATGCAGTGTACAGCTTTTGCAAAAGTAAACCAAGCAGGAATCGGAAAGGTGGTGAGGATTTGTACTTCTCCGGGTAGCCAGGGGAACCTGAGTTCCCATGAATCCCTTTATGTTTGTTTCGTTAAAAAGTAAGAAAAAGCCACAGAGGGGAGGGAAGCACCATATTGTGAAGTGGTTCTTGGTTATGAGAGGATATGTGGCCCCTAATCCAACCTTTTTCAAAGAGCTGAGGCTCCTAAACCTTTTTGATCTTCTTTCTGTGAAGGTCAAATGAAAAATACTCTTCCAGATTGCCCCAACAAGCAAAACTTGCCAGTCCCTTGAGGAAAGTTAAGTACAACATGGCCTTCTGAGGTGGGCTTAGGAGGAAGCAGATGGGCTCCCAGAGCAAGGTCAAGGTTAATTCTGAGCAAGGGGGTTTGTGGGGATGGCCCAGGATATGGATTGGGAGACTGAAGCCAAGCTCTGCAGACGGGGGCTTGGCTCTGAGAAATGGGGGCGGGGTTGTGGACAAGTTTGGGCGGGGCTCTGAGTGGCGGGGGCGGTCTCGGGGCCCGCGGTCCAGCCCCCAGCTGGGCTCGGGCGGGGTCTGTGGCAGGAAGCCGGAAGCAGCCACGGCCTCAGCTCGGGAGACATGGCGGGGATTAAAGGTATATCCGTGGTCCCGCTCGCTGGTCCTGCGGTGGGGTTGGCTCTTCGGCGCCGGCCTTACGTTGGAGCTGCGCTTTCAGCGCGTGGGCAGGCAGCGACCTCCCCCAGCCTCACGATGCTTCCCACCTCCCTGGGTGGGAAAGCACTCGCTCACTCCCTTCGCTTCTTGGGTTGAGGGTGGAAGGATGTTTGGGGAACCTTAGCCTTTTTGTTTTTGTTTTTGTTTTTGTTTTTGTTTTTTTGCTAGGCCACTGGCCTTTACGCTCTCCCCTGGCCCTCCGGACCCCCCGGGACTCACCCTCGCAGGGAGCGGTGCCTGCCTGGGAGACCGGAGCCCGCCCTCGGGGCATCACTTCACCGGCTCCACAGTTCTAGGAGCTCCCCTCCACCCTCACCCCCACCCCCGTCTGCTTTGTTTTTGACGAGGTTTCCACGTCCTGACAAGTGCGCCCTAACTCCTCTGTCTTTTCCTGCCATCCCGCACTTCCCCATTTCTTCCAGAGGAGCTATTGTCTCCAGCGTGCTCAGATTTGGGGCACTTAATCCTCTCGTTCTGATAGTTTTTCCTATTGGGCAGAATTGACTGCAGGCGGGTGTTAATGGGAAGCGCCCAGAAGAGCTGTATTTCTCATAGTCGTGGAAAGCAAATTAGGTGGAATTTTATCACTACTTTCATCTTTGGACAGACAAGAAAGTGGTGTTTGTGCAGTTATGTGTTTTTGAATGGCGCGCTTGATAAAAAGGGGGTACCAAGAACACCTCTTCCCTTATCTGTATGCCTTCTGGGGAATGGAGGATGCCAGCCGTGGGAGAGGTTACTGGAAGGCTTCCTGTTATTTTTGGGTGGAAACCGTTAGATTTCTAATCTTTTGAATAGAGTAGCATAACTTTTTTTTTGGTTGGAGTTCCTATTCTCTTTGAAATGTGTACCCAAAGATCTCCCCGACCTGCTATAAACTTGTATAAAGTGTATTTGCACATGTGTGTGTTCACTGTGAAATATATCTGAGTGTGTGAGCTGTTAGCAGCAGACATATTTTATCATTATTTCTGGATGGCTTATTTCAACATCAGCTTAGTAAACATGATTTATTTGGACAGTTTCCTGTGAGTGATACAGCCATTTGAAGCCAGTGCAGAAAACAGGTGACAAGTAGTATTTCAGAATTGTACTGCGTTTAGTCATGCCCAGAAACTATCAAATAATGTTTATGTGTGAATGTGTTAGAAATTGTGAAGGAAGCTAGGTTATGAAATGGAAAAGGACTGAGGGAAAGAAGTATTTTCAGGTAGTTCAACCCTTGAGGGATTACAGTATACATGAGGTTTGGGATTAAAAGATAAATTATTATTGGACAACAGAGCTGGAAATGGTTACTATAACTGACTGCGGTGTGCTCAGATACAGTGGGACCACAGATGGTGTTGTGAGTTGAATTATGTTCCTAACTCTCCTGGATCTGTCAATGTGA